TGATGGCCCAGCCTTTACTCAGGAAAACTTTCTCCCGACTGAGGGGCAAGGAGCGCCTGCGGAGCAAAAAGGCGGCGCCCGCGCCGCATGACGAACCAGGTACCCGAGGGAGGCGCGGGGTCGGGTTCTCCTCTCCCGTCCCGGCTGGGGCCCCGGAGACACCCTCGCCCGACAGGAGGGGGCTGCTGTGGACATCTTCGGCATTTCCTCCCCAGCAGCTCCTAAAATAGGCAAAAGGAAGCGAAGGGAAGGGAAGGGACTGCTGTAGCGAAATCCTTTTCGCGGTGGCCCTGGGGGAGCCCAAGCGAGGCCCATGGTCTGGGGCGAATTGCCGGGGCCATTCTCTAGGACGGACCGCGTTTCTCTGCGCAGCCCCGGCCCCAGAGCCAGCCTCCGGTTTGAGGTGGAAAGCGCCTTTTGCCCCTGTCGGCCCGTTCAGTAGCAGGGAAATTTCTTGGGGCTTCTAGCTGTCGCTGCAGCCCCCGCCTCCTTTTTGAAAGCGTTCCCAGCAGTTGGGTCAGGGCTGATGTTCGTGGTCGGCAGCGACTTTGCATGCAGGAACAGTAGAAAGAGGTCGGGACCGGGACCCTTCTGCTTTCAAGGAGATGTCTAGATCCAGTTGCTTCTGACCTGCAGAGGAGTGAAAGCAGGTACCAAATAGTGTTCACGCCAGCAAGAGGGGCCTGCTGTTCCGCCAACAGCCCTGTGTTCCTGAAGTAGCTCCTCTTTAGCCCAAAGGGGTGGCAGTAGCATCCTGGAGCCAGAGAGCGGTGGTTCATGCAGTCATAGGACATGTGATTGCCAGAAAGAATTCCTTGAATGGGTCTTATGTGCTGGATGCCAGTCTGTGGCCATCATGTGATTCCATCGCCACAAAGAGCCAGTGTGGAATATTGGTTGAAGTGTTGGGTGGACTGAGGAAATCCATGTTCCAATCCCTGGCTGATTGTTGGGTTCATTGGGTAACCTTGAGGCAATCACTCTCTTTCAGCCCATTCTGCCACAGAGGGTTTGTGGTGAGGATAAAGTGAGAGAAAGCTGTGCACCATGGTATGCACTCCATTTGCTATTTGGAAAAAGATGAGATAGAAAAGTAGCATTAAACAAACATGCATATGCTGGCTTCCAGGTTTTACTTGTGCCCATCTGTTGCAAATAGAACTCTTTAGCTGACAAGAGATCCACAAGTGGCCAGATGAATTAAGTGTTAAGGCATTGGAATGCAGAAGATGTCAATTGGCATTTCCTTTAATTAGTCTCTGGTGACACTGTGAAAATGGCCCAAGGAATCTTCATACAGATTCCCTTCTCCATTAAGTCCTTCACCATCAACGTTCACAGACTGAATGCTGAAAGTCCAGAAAGTTGGGGTAGAAATTGAAATAATAGAGAAACACGAGTTGTATGAGAGAGGCTTACAGTAGTATTGAACCAAGTAGCTAAGCTGAGTTTACTTGGGACTAAGAAGAAACACATCACTGTGTGCCTCTGGAGAAAGTTGCTTGCTCTAAACCTCATTTCTTCTTCTGTAAATACAAAATAATAGTCATTTAGCTTTCAGGACTGAGAAGGTGAACATGCCATGTAAATTAAAAGTACATTCTGCCAGTAATGACAATTGAGAAAAAGGTCCTTTCATTGAGAGTACCCTACTTGAAGAAAAATTTCTCCAGAGAAGTATATTTGGCTCAAGTTAATAATTCTGTTACTGTCAAAGTCCTTGCTAATCCCTTTCTGATTTTAATGTTAATGAAATATTAATGGTTAGCGTAATTCTTCCTCCATATCTGAAAGCTTCTTTTTAGCTTTTTTTGGTAATTCGATTTTTTTCTTATTTTATGACTATAAATCTCTTTGAGATATCAGATTGAACTGAAGTTGGATACTAATTCTAGTAAAAATAATGGCAAAGCTTTCTCAAGATCTAAGTGTGACTGTTTTACTCCCAATTTTGAATGTGAGAACTTTTCAGCAATATCAGATGTAAGTAGTAACAAACAATCCCCAAGTCAAAGAAGAGAAAACGTTTTTTAAAAATAGTGAAATAATGTAATCAGATGTTTTGGTTGATGAACTATATTGTGAAACAAGATCTTTCAAAGTTGCATTTAAAAAAATGTAACTCTGAAAAGAGAGATGGTTCTGTTGTCCTTTCTCTTTCCACTCTCTCCTGAGAAGCCTGATTTGTGACCTGCATCTTCATTCTTGACTTACGCCTGAATCAATGGGGCTCTTCGTGTGGAGTTAGTTGGGGACCTACAAAGGGAGCTCTGTGTCTTGGCCGGGGAGGGGACGATGCAGTAAACAACAGGAAATCCAACTTGGCACTAGGTCTGAGCAGCTGGAAGCTTGGGACAGACCTCCTGGCCTCTGCTATATTGCGGGCCTCAGCTGCACGTCGTCAGGCCAAGCCCGGATGTGGTGGGTTTGCCCCCCTCCTTGAACCCCTTTTCCCATACTGCTTAATACTTTCCCACTCTCCTTTTGGAGTTATCAAAAGTTTTCAGGGGTTGCTTCGCTCAGAGAAAGTTTCATTTCTCAGATTGTTAAGGCATAGGCTCAGACTTAATTTTCAGTGCCCCATTGTGATGTGAATTGAGAGTAACTTATATACATTATTTATAATTATAAATAATTATAGCAGTATAACTGAGGTACTATCAGCCAATGGGAAACTAGACTCTGGGACTGAAGTTCAGCCTTTTGTAGAAGGATTTGGACTCTCCCTGAATGAAGGTGAGTGCATCTTCATCCACAGCTGTCACTCAGTTTGCAGGTGGTGACTTTGCACAGTTACTTCCAGCGGGCCAGCTGCATTCTTTCCTGAGCTGGCTAATGTGTCAATGGTCATCCATCCCTTGATTACATCCTGTCTTGACAGTTGCCATGTGCTGTACATTCAGCTGTCCTTGAAAAGTGGAAGTTGCCGTGGCTGCTAGGTGGCTAAGTCGTTCAAAATGCAGGAATCATATGATGCTGGTACTGAGACCTCTGCACCGGCTGCCGTTCCTTACCTGCCACAATGTAAGGTGCTGGTATTGATCTTTAAAGCCATGAACAGCTTAGGTTGCCCCTTTCCTTCTGGTCCTGTATCGTTATCGAATTCTGCAGGAGAGACCCTTTGAAGACGATCCCACTGTCAGAGGCCCAGCTTTCAGGCACCCAGGAAAAGGCCTTGTTCTGTGTTGCTCCCAGACTATGAAATGCACTCCCTGGGAGGTGCATTCGCCCCACTCTTTCAGTGTCTCGGAAGTCAACAAAGATGCATCTCTTCGGCCACGTTTTGTGGTTAATTGATTTTAGCCTTCGCTTTAGGGCTAATTTTAATCTGTATTTTTAGCTTTTTATATTCTAGAGTCATAGTTGGAAGGGGCAATTTATTTGAATAGTGCTATCACATCCCTCCTCAGTCTTTTCTCAAGGCTAAACATTCCTGGCCCCTTCAGTCTCTCTTCATGGGGCTTAGTTTCTAATCCTCTGATCATCTTCATTGCCTTTCTCTAAACCTATTCAGTTTCTCTAAATCCTTTTAAGCGTGGTGACCAGAATTGGTCACAGTATTCAAGGTGGAGTCTGACTAATGCAGGACAGAGTGGAAGGATTACTTCCTGTGACTTGGAAAATATATCTTTGCCTTTTTTGCAGTCACATCACACTGCGTTGGCCCATATTCAGTCTGCAATACACTACTACTGCAAGATCGTTTTCACAAGTACTGTTACTAAGCCAGGTGTCTACCATACTATATGTGTGTATTTGATTTTTGTTTCTTAAGTGAACATTGCACTTGAGTCTGTTAAATTTACTTCTGTTACTCTCATCCCATTTCTCCAGCTTTTCAAGATAATTTTAAATGTTATTTCTTCTAGGGAATTAGTTATCCTACCTAACTTTGTGTCATCTGCAAATTGGGTAAGCATTCCTTGTATCTAACCCTAACCCTTATGAAACTCCATGTTTCCTCTCCAGGTTGATGAGGAACCATTGATAACCATTCTTTGTGTACAATTTTGATGTCTTTGTCTTTTTTAATTGTCATGCCATCCATCCCACATAACTATCTTGCTAATCAGAATATTTTAGAATGCTTTGGCATTGCTGAAATCAAGAAATACTACAACAATAGCATTTCTAGTTTACTAAGGAAGTTAACGAATCAAAAATGGTTGGCAAAATTTGTTCATGACCAATCCATGCTAACTTCTGGAACTACTGCACTTTTCAAGGCAGTTAGAAACGGATCTCTTTATGATCTGTTCTAGAATCTTTCCAGGTATCAGTGTTAGATTGACCAGTCCTAGTGCACTCAATCTTCCTTTTCTTCCTTTTCGAACAAAGGGACATTTGGTCTCCTCATCTGGCACATCCCCAGTTTGCCAGGATTTTTCAGAGATAACATATATAGGGATTTGGCTAGGCCATGAACTGATTCCCTCAGTACCCTAGAATGCAATTAATTTGGTGTTGGAGGCGTAATCTAGAATAAAGAGGTGGCTATGTTTCCATCAGTCTCAAACTTCAATACTGACGCTACATCCTGTTCTTTTGTTTTGGTTTTGTCAATTTTTGTTAACTGCCTTGAATGTTCTCCAGACTAGAAAGTAAATTACATAAAATAAAAAATATGTGGTCAAAGGAGGATGCCAAATACTTCAGAGTGTCACTGTTACAGAGTTGCAGGAATGAATCCTATTCTGTAGTTAGCAGGATTTTGGGTTCCATTTCTCTGTTCAGCAGGAGTCAAGTTTAGGGTTTGGCCCTTTTCTATCTTCATTCTGTCTCCTTATTTGGTAGGCTCAATTCATATTGATATATTTATCTGATAAAAAGGCTAAGGGGCCATAATATATCAACTTCTGTTCCCAATAGATCCTCCATTGGAGCTACCAGATGATTTACAGCTATCTTCTGAGCCTAAACCAGTAGATACTGTTCTGTTGGATGATGGATGCCAGAAAAGTGCCACCATCACTGTGTCACGGAAACAGAACTGGGCCAAGTTCACCTGGGGCAGCCAAGAGGACTCTCATAACAGGAAGCTGTGCCAGAGCTCTTCCAATATGCCACAGGCACCTCCAGACCTTGTGTCAGTGGCAACTGGACCCAAGAAAGCTACTGAAGTGCTGGGCAGCTACACAGAGACATGTAACCCCAGCCTCAGTGCCAAGTGCAGCAGCCAAGGTGCGTACCTACAGACCCTGGAGAAAAGTAGCCGCCAATGGGTGCTCTCTGCAGGGAAGACTCAGGGGGTAGAAGAGGCAGCTTCCAGCTCTACTACTGAGATGGAAGAATTCAACATGCATGGCAACACCCAAGGAGAGATCTGGTACAACCCAATTCCAGAGGATGAGGACCTGCAGCTCCCCTGCCTTGAAAGGAAGTGGGGTAGTGGTTCTGAGAATAGGAACAAGAAGAGGAACCCAAGAGAGGTTAAAGTCCCACATGAATGTATAGATGTTGGCAGCTCACAGAAGACAGTCAGTGATGTGCAGATTTCAACAATCCAAGGGAGGCCTGCTAAGCAAGTGGAGATGCTGGGTGACCACCAGTCTGAGAGTTGTGGTGAGTTGGTTCTTCTTAGCAGAGACTCACATTTTTCCAATGGCATGAGAACCACTTTGGTGGTTTGGAGAATTGAGGGCTGAGGGCTGTGGGGAGTCATGCATTTGGTCAAGGGCAAGATTTTTTTCTTCTTATTGGAGAATGATCTCCTGGGAGTATCTCTTCTTTAAAAGGCTTGCGAATAGCAGAAGAAGACAACCCCAATCTTTTAAGTAGCTGTTTCGCTGAGCTAGCTCTAGAATGCTTAAAAGAGATCCACTCTGAAATGCCCAGCAGTGGGCCACTCGGCTTGGGAGTTGCTCTTTGATGTCTTGAAATGTCATTTATCTTAAATGTGTATTGAATTTAAGGCCATTACTGAGGGAAAAGCTTCTTCAGTGAAACCAATGTATGTTTTGCCTAGTCCAGTGATGGCAAACCTTCTGGGCTCGGCGTGTCAAAAATTTGGAAAATGCCTAGCTTGACTCTGCTGGTGTGTCACTGCCCCCCCCCCAACAAAAGAGAAACAATTCTTTACATATTCATTTATTTAAAAAAAAATACAGTCCAGTCATGTGTGGTGCTGTATATTATATAAAGAAACATCAAATAATTACAAAAAAGAAATACGAGTAAAACAACTCACTTTCTTTGATAACTCAAACAGGGAGAATGGTCGGGTGTTGGTGAACGCTGGCATGTAACCCAAAATGTCATGGTGTGTCACCTTTGACACGCGTGTCATAGGTCCGTCATCACTGGTCACTCTTTGATTGTGTTGCTGGTTATAGAACTTTCTGCTTATTCAATCATTCATAACATCACCTATGTTTCTGGCCAAAAACTGTGCGTCTGTATTTGCAATTAAGGTAGTATTTCAATTTTGGGCGTAATTGTGGTGGACAAAGGGAGAATGACTGCTGCTGCATTGAACCATGTATACTGTACTCAGATTGCTTTCTGGCTTTCCTTTTTTCTTGGAAGAAGAGATCTCCTGTTGGCCCTTTTCGTGAAAAGCCCTGAGATTGATTCTTTCTCCCCAAGCCTGTTGCCCCTGGAGCTTTAGAGCAATTCCTGTTACCCCCTGGGTAAGTGACATTTGATTTGGCCTGCCTAATTCAGTTTCTCTCCTCAGGAAAGGTGCCTGTTGCAACTGTGGATCCTGAGGAAAGTTCAGCCAGTACCATACTGATGGCCCAGAACACCGTTGCCAATAAAAAGAGCCATTCTTTCAGCAAGGCCAAGTCCCCAGGCCCAGTGCGAAGCCTCTCCATGAAGATGAAGAAGTTGCCAGAGCTGAGACGGAAGCTAAGCCTGCGCAGCTCTCGTCCACGAGGGCCAGAGGGAAGCTCCTCCCCTAAGGAGTCAGGCAACGTCATCAGCCGCTACCATCTTGACAGTAGTGTGGCATCTCAGCAACCCATGACCTGGGGCAAGGCTGCCAGCAATGGGGGCTATTTGAGTGATGGCGATTCCCCAGAGCTTCTGGCTAAGGCGGAGGCATGCCTTGGCCTTGAAGGGTCTTCGTTCCGGCTGTACAGTTTTGCTGAACAGCCTGGCTGTCTGCAGCATCTCTCTGGTCTTGTCAGCATCCACCTGCTGGGGATCCAGGACTTCAAACCTCCCAAAGCTGAAACCAAAGAGCTCTTCTGCATTCTTCAAGTAGACTCTGTTAACAAGGCCCGCACAGCCCTCCTACCTTGCCAGGCTGCTGTCCTCACTCTCAACCATTCTTTCCAGCTGGAGCTGGAGGATGCCCAACTTCTCAAAATGGTGGTCTTCTCATGTGATCCTACTGTGGGCAAGAACCGAGTTTGCTGCCATGGCACCATCATTCTGCCCCAGGTTTTTCAAGGTGAGGAAGGCTGTTCAGGCACATGCCAATAATCAGTTTTCCAGGGAGTTACAGCTAGAAATAATGTCCCTTGCAGCCCACCTGCTCAGGAACATAGGAAGCTACCTTCTGCCAGAGCAGATCATTTTTTTCTACTAGTCCAGTACTGACTAGTCTGAAGGGCCCCAATCCAATATCTTTCTCATCAGACTCTGGTTTTAAACTTGTGGTGGGGTGAAGGTCAAAGTTGTGACCCCTCTCATGCAAGGACTATGCTCTCTTACTGTCTCTTCCCTTTCTGCTAGCAGAGCACAGGACCTGATTCCTGCTTAAGATGCTAAAGTGTTGAGTAGATCTCAAATGCTTCTAATACTGGATGGACCCCATGGGATTGGCTGGCCTGGGGATGGGGATGGGGAAGTGGGGATCCACTGTGGTCCTCACATTCTCTAATACTTTTCTTTTTAGGTTGTAGGACCCAGCAATTGGCCCTACAACTGGAGCCTCAGGGGCTTCTATACATCAAACTTACCCTGGTGGATCAGTGGGACCCAGCTAACTCTGAACAGGAACCACAAGTCTTTGGAGTGAAACTGAGTCAACTGGTGGAAAGGGAAGGTGCTGCCATCAAGGTGCCACTGCTAATCCAGAAATGTGTAACCCAGATTGAGAAACGAGGATTGAAGGTGAATATTCTCACCCAAAGCAACTAATCCCTATGTTTCATGTAGTGTCTTCCCCCAAAACATAGAGTAGCTCAGTCTGGCCATCTCCTTTTCTTCCAATCCAAATGTCTGATTTTTCCAGTATGTCATCCCCATTTACTTACTTACTTACTTACTTACAGGACTTATATGGCCACCTATCTCATACAATGACTCTAGACAGCTCACAACAATCCATAAAACATAGCTAAAAACGAAGATACCCTTCCCCCCAAGCGCCAGACCAAATGTTCTCACAGCTCATCCTCACATCCTAGCCCAATGCTTGAAGGAAGAGCCAGGTCTTCACAGCCCTCCAGAAGGCTAAAAGGGTAGGGATCCCTCTGATCTCCAGTGGGAAGCTGTTCCAAAGGACTGGGGTGGCCACCAGGAAGGCACATCTCCAAGGTCCCATCAGATGGCAACATTTAAAGGAGGGGACCTAGAGTGCATCCACCCTATCTAACCTAGTAGGATGGGCAGATACCCTCAGGGAGATGTGGTCCTGCATGTAACCTGGCTCTGTGCCATGTAGGGCTTTAAAGGTGATAACCAACACCTTGAATTGCACCCGGAAAGCAATTGGAAGCCAGTGCAGCTTATGCAGCAGTGATGTTACTCAGGTGAACCACGGGGCACCTAAAACTGCACATGCCACTGCATTCTGGGCCAGTTGCACTTTCTGGATGGTCTTCAAGGGCAGCCCTATGTACAGCCCATTGTAATAATCCAGACAGGAGGTGTCTAAGGCATGGGTGACTTCTTCCCCATAATGCTGTCTGTAGCAATGTCTGCTTGCCCAGGTGATCAGCTCTGTTCTGCTTATAGGTGGTGGGCCTGTATCGCTTATGCGGCTCAGCAGCAGTGAAGAAGGAATTACGTGATGCTTTTGAGAGGGACAGTGCTGCTGTTGTCCTCTCTGAAGATCTCTACCCAGACATCAATGTGATTACAGGTTGGTGCCCATAACTGGGTTCTTGATAGATTTTCCAGCCAACCAGTTCCCAGTGGGCTCTGGAGAGACTTCTGGAATTAATAACATGTAGGCAAGTCATATTGCCAGTATGATCTGTGCTTACTGTTTCTTCTTGCTAGGAGTGATTTGCTGAGGATTCATGCTGGTGCAATATCTATCCGGTTCATTTGGAGCTTGTGTTCTTGGACCACTTCTAAATTGCTATTTGACCCAAAAGAGCAAAAGAAGCCTAGCAAACTTTGGCTTAGGGATCAGGAGTAGGAGAAGTGGCTAGTAAGTTAGCAAGGATGAAACAACCTCCAAAGTTGAATGAGGCTGCTGAAGAAAAATGACAAAAGCCAGTGTGCTTTGTTCCAGGACTTAAGTGGGGCCAAGAAGTAGAGACATGGGGAGGACATCAACCTGCAAGATGGCTGTACCTTCTAGGATATGCCTGCTGATAAAGATAATTCCCAGAAAAACTGTGCCAGTTCCTAATGTTTCCCCTCCTTAAGCTAATTGAGTCTTTGAATTTCTGTAGCCAGTGAGCCTGTTCTGCTCTTACATTCTATAGGAGCAAAAAGGACAAAGAAGTACTGACACTTTGCCCTCTTACCTCCACAGTGTAGGCATCTGGAATTATACTTGCATCCAATCATGGTTTATGCTTGTTTTTGGCCAATATCACTCTGGGCGTTCCTTTTGTAGCTTCCTCTCCTGAAACCCCCTCAGTGTATCAAGGAATACCCGTGGATCAGGGAACAGGGAGATTCTGCTCAGGAACAATTCTATTCAAGCATGAGTTGAAAGTTATAAAATCAATTTTATAAAATGACCATAACAAAACTACATGAAGCCATTCAAAGAATTAAATGTTATAGTTATAAAATAATCTAATGTTTCAGGTTAAAATGCAGATCAGAGAGCATACAGTACATTTGTATCCTAAAAACCTTCCTGAGCCAGAAAACGTTAACACTATTTTTAAAATTGATTTTAAAATATGCAGAGATAAATAAATATAAAAATCAAAAGAAAGGGGAAAAAGCAGAAAAGTAAGCATGGATGTGCATATATTCATACACGCATGCACCAAACATGCCTTTTCCTGGGTGGGAGAAGGAGAAATTTCATGAAAATGTGTCTGGTTTAAGGCAGTGCTTCTCAAACTGTAGATCATCACCTTAGGGGCACTGCAAGTAAACCTGAACAGGGTTGCAAAGGAAGATGGCTGGTCCATGAGGGGAGCAGGGTACCCACAATAGTTGCAGGGCCAGGAGGCTCAAGACCCAGGCCCATGGCTAGCAGCAGTGGGACCTGGAAGTAGAGATTGGATGAGGTTTTGGGACAAAACAGAGATTGGCAGGGCAGGAAGACCTGATAACTTAGCATGCTCTTTTTGGCCTGAGTCTTCTTGATGGTCTTCTGCTTGGTCTGGCACTCAGACCTGCCTGGCCCCCTTTCCTCCTGGAGCAGTTTCACCCTGTCCATAGATGCCTTCCAGGAGAGTCAGCACCTCTCGGGTGGGAGTAAGGGAATTCCTTGAGCTTCTTTTAACTGGAGATGCTGATCTGAACTGTGAAGAGGATGGAGAGAATTGTGTAGCAAGGGAAAACTGCAGAATGGGTTCAGAAGGCTGGGTGTGCAGGGGAGCAAGAACCTCTACCTCTGTTGGACTCTGCACAGGGAAGAAGGGTCATAACTAGAAAGCCTTGATCCCATAATGGTGATGGTGGTGGTGAGCAAGTATTTCAGTGACAGCAGTAAATCTGTTGGCCCTGCAGTCAGTGAGTTCCAGTGTTTTGGCATTGGTTTTTCCCACACTCCATATAGGCTGCCAGGAACTGGGTTTCCCCCTCCAATCTGTTTTTCCTATATTCAGGTCTCTTCCCCAAGTATACACAGACTTATCAGCCAGGCAATGTGCATCTTGATCTACTTCTTGGGAGCAGAGCACCCAAAAGCTCCACCCAGCATGGTTCTGGAATCATGAGAGAACTTAGTCCCCCTCTGCCTGGACCAACCAATAGCAGAACTGAAGTCTGACAGGGCTCCAACTTTGCATTTGTGAAAGGCTCAGGGGGTAAAGAGTGGGATAAGGAACTCATTCCATGCTAAACAGATAATTGGCACACTCAGAACCACCAAGGAAGATCTCTTTAGTTTTATTGGGGCAGGTTATACACATTCATTTATGGTTTTTGGAGGGTAAGGCACCACACTGTTTGAGAGTCCCTGGTTTAAGGAGTTGCAGACAGGTGCTTTTGTCCTCAAATCTCAAGTGCTGCACTATAAAGCAGAAACAAACAAACAAACAAAATCTTAAGGAGACAAAACTTCAAGCATTCATATTCAATATTTCTGTCCAAAACAAGTTTATATAGATGGAGGAGACAATTTGTTAGGAATTATGTTACTGATACAACTAAAAATATGGAGACTAAATGTGAATAAAGCAATCTTTAATTACGGGTTTCCTCAAGACTTTTTAATGCTATTTCCCACCCTTTTAAATACCATGGATCCAAATACAGATGGCGGGTTTGGCCACTGGAGGGAACACCATGAAAAAGAAGGCAAGCTAGAAGAAGGATGTTCCTGATCTGTTCTGAAGAGAGCTCTTCTGATGACCAAGAGGTTTAGAGCCAGGGGGGCTCGAATTTCCTGTGACTCTCAGGCTTTGCATTTCCTCTGCGTCTTAGTCCACTTCCTTTCACGATTAAAGGCAGGTCAGGGTTAGCCTGTGATGGCTGGCAGCGAGTCCTGCAGCCATCTGGCAGTGCTCGTGATTTGGCCATTTGCCATGATCTGGGCAGTGAAGCTGGGAATGGAGCTGACAACTCCTGTTATACTGCCAGGTTGACTGTTTGTCAAGTATGGCTCAATGGATGTGCACCGGCTCCACGGTTCCTTTCTATGTATTGTTTGAACAATGAAGTGAAAGTGTGGCTTTGAGGAGCAAAAGATCCAGATATGCTGGATCACCTTGCATCCCATCTGTCTGCTCCTCCCTTAGTCTGCTATCACTCTGTTCCCATATCCACCCATTGTGAAAAAAAGCAACGACCTGCAAAGTTTGTATGTCAAGATTTTCATGTCAGGGAACCCTAATGTGCCATAGGCTCTTGCAATACCAGTATGATAACGGCCTTCTCTAATAAAGATGAAGATTGAACCTGGAACAAAGGCAATGTTGAGGTGCTCTGTTTTCTTCCTTTCCAGGGATCTTGAAGGACTATTTGCGTGAGTTACCCACTCCTCTTATCACTGACCCCCTCTATCAGGTGGTACTGGAAGCTATGTCCAATCGGACAGTGGGGCTGGAAGTGAAGGAGACAACAACAGCTCTTCTGGACTGCCTACCAGAGACTGAGAAGGTGAGGAGACCCCAGGTTGAGAAAGAGAATAGGTCTGTCAATCCCAGACTTACCTGGGCTTTTTAAAATCTTGGTTTCTCTGCTGGACCCAAGGATAGCCTCCCACAGTAGTATTGTTAGTGGACGTCCCATGGAAGGACTAAGCTTCCATTTTTACCCTGAATGCTTTTCTGTTTTCCTTGCTGACATGAAAGGCTGCACATCTTTTCCTTACAGTTCCTTATTCATCTAGATTAAGATCTTTCCTTCCTTGTTATTGACTGAGTGGGCTGAAATAAGCTGTTGTTTCCATTATTTAGGCCACTTTGACGATGCTGCTTGATCACCTTAGTCTGGTTGCTGCTTTCCATACCTTCAATCGCATGAATGCCCAGAACCTTGCTGTGTGCTTTGGGCCTGTGCTGCTGAGCCAAGGGGCAGGGGGAACCGTAGTACGCAGACCTGGCCAGCAGCATTGCGCCATTGCCAGCACCATGGACTTTAAACATCATATTGAAGTGTTGCATTACCTGCTACAATCCTGGCCAGGTGAGTCTGCCAGGGGTTCAGAGGCATCTCTTCCATTTTGGGGGACAAATTTCCTTTAGCTTTAGCTGCTGGGTTCTTGCCAATCATTTAATGAACCGTAACACTTTTTGTCGAATTGTAATGTGGTACGGAGTACGCCTCTTGGCATTTTGGGCATATGGTACTTTGTCTCCTTATCTGATCAGTTAAGGGTTAGTTGGATGATAGCCTTAAATCTATATTGAAGAATCTTTCTAAACAATAAGGAAAGACAAAGCAGATGCAAGCTGGCAGTTAGTTTGACTAAACAACATATTAAACAAAGCTATTTGTAGACCTTGGGTCAAACTTTGATTAACACAAGGTGCTTAATGGGCGTTATTGTGGTAAGGTTCTTTGTATCATCTGAACCTGAAAGGGAGGGCTACTTAAATTAACCTACCTCTCTGGCCTCTGGTCATAAAGATGAGAAACTGGGGCAATTGTAAAATAGGGTTGCTGTGATCATAGCATATATTTTCCCCATTTTGTTTTCACCCCATGAGCATGGAGGTATGTGCGAAATGGCAAAAAGAGAGGGGGGCATTTCCATCTGTGTGTGGTGGCATTGATCCTGTTGGGGCTGCCATTTTAAAAATTACAATTAAAAAACCAAAATAATAACCCACTTCCCCAAAAAACTCAAACCAGAAAATGTTCACTGGTCAAGTCAGCCCCTGTAAAAGGGGCTGGGACAGTAGCCAAAGTGACAGCTCTCCAACAAATGGGGCTGCCCTCAGTTTGCTGGGTTGTTTGATCAGTGGATAAATGTTTTTCAATAGGTGAATTAAGCTATTGCTTATTATTCATAATAATCATGAAAAGCAAAGGCTTCATATGCATTCTTCCACATGTTGGATACATTGGCCTTAATATATTTCATATTGTTTCATAAATACATCTGGAACAGGATGATGATCTTGAACTTGTCCCAGACCTCAACCATGGAATGTTCTTTCTTAGACAGAACAATATGCCACTAAGCCACATGTAAGGCCAATGTATCCAGCATGTGGAAGAATGCATATGAAGCCTTTGCTTCAAATGATAGGTTTATTCATATTCAAATTGATTGACTCACAACATCTCAGGACATTTGTATATCAGTATTTGTGATGTATGACTTCTTAGAAATGATGCCATGCTCTTTGCTGAGCAGGCAAATTTGAAGCTTTCCATCGCTTGATCTAGAAATTAGCTGTGTGTTCTTGCATAGCAGCATCTGCCAGGACTGGAGTCTTGCCACTGGGATGATTGTCAGTCTATATTCCCTCCCAGCCTGCTTACCTCATTCTCCCTTCCTTCTTAGCTCCAAATAGGAAGATGGAAGATGGTGAACATACCTTTCCAAGCAAGCAGGCATGTCGCCAGTGCCACCCTCCCCTGGATCTGCCATTGTCAAGCAACACTGTCATGGCTCGAAGCCGCCCACGAGGATTGGAAAGTCCTCCAAGCAATCGTTATGCTGGAGATTGGAGTGTATGCGGACAGCAGTTCCTAGGAGCCCCCAAGCCAGGCAGTGAGGCCGACTATGATGAGGTGGCAGGGAGTGAGAGTGACAAGGAAGAGGAGAATGAGGAGGGGCCTTTGAGGAAAGGATTGGCACTCCATAGCCAAGCAGTCTACATGGGTGATTTTGCCCTGGTGGAGGATCCAGAAGCTCCCTTTAGCCCGAGGCTCAATCTGAAGGACTTTGATGCTCTCATCTTGGACCTTGAGCGAGAACTCTCCAAGCAAATCAATGTCTGCCTATGAACTATTCTCTCAGGACTTCATAACATTGTGAGCCTTCTAGCGTTGCCTCAGCAAGTTCTTTCTTCTGACTTACAAGCCATGTCAGTATTATTTCTGCTTGTGGATTTCAACCCAAGTGGGCACTCTCTTTTGGCCTTTGCCAGTGTTGAAGAGCCAGCGTGAGCTCTCACTGATTGGCCAAAAGGCACAGTTGCTGGGGCTCTCCCCTCTTCAGTTTTATATGTGAACTGGGAACAGAGGAGAGATGTGAGCTCTCAACCAGCACCTTGTTCATACATTTCAATGCAATCTTCCTCAACTTGGAACCTTCCAGATGTGTTGGACCTCAGTTCCCATATTTCCCAGCCACCACGGCCAACACACCTGGAGGGCACCAGGCTGGGAAAGGCGGCTTTAAATGCTTCCAAGGAAGAGAGGATTTATTCATGGTTTATTTTCTTTTCTTGAAAAGGTAAAATTGAAAAAGTAATGTTTATGTGCATGCTTTCCTAATCATTGAGAGCACTTTACCCGTCCTTGAAGGTAGGTCAATATTATTATCCTCCATCATTATCTAGAGTCTGGACTGAAACACGGTAGCTTGCCAAAGACTGAGCTGAGCTGTGGTTGGGACCAGGGGTTTATTGCTCCTTTTTTTTTAATCACTGGGCTCTGGGCTGGCTGTAGGTTGAGGGTCCCTCAGACTCACTGAGGGGCCCCTGTTAGTGGATGATCAGATTGGCCCTGGGCAGCTGGGAGCCCTATCTTACGTTCCACACAATTTTTCCCATTCTGTTTCTGCTTCGAGGTATTCTGGGAAACTAAAAGGGCAGTTTCAAGTTAAGGGAAACACTTTGTTTTCAAAGCGGTGGCAAGATTTGGAATGGGCTTGGCAAGGATGCTGCCTTCTGTAGTTTTTAGTCTCTTTGGCTCTAATAGCGTATCACAGAATCATATAACCGTACGAGCATTTATATAACCGTACGAGCTTTTAGGGCATTGAGTCCAGTCCACTGCTTTAATGCAGGAGTCCAAATTAAATCACCCCTGTTTTAGCCTCTGCTTGAACTTATCCTGTGAGAAGGAGCCCATCACCACCCTGGGGAACTGACCCCATTGCAGAACTGTTCTTGCTGTCAGGACGTTTTTCTCTCTAGCATTCCACTGGACTCAGCCTTCCTATAACTTAAATTCATGATTGCATAACAAATCGTTCCTATTCTCTGCAATAATAGTGAATAGGTCTTCACCTTCTCCTGTGTGACATCCTTTCAGGTATTCAAAGAATGCTGTTTTAACCCCCATTCCCTTGCCTTTTCTCAAAACGAAAGAGTCATATGTTCTTCAATTTCTCTTGGTTTCTAGTCCCTTGAAAATCCTTGTTGCTCTTTTCTGAACCTGATCCATTTTGCCTCAAACATTCTTAAAGAATAATGTCCAGAACTGGCCACAATACCTGTGGTTGGGTCAGCCAGGTATCGCCCCTATTACGTATATGTGTAATTTTTTGTTTTCAACGTAAGGAATTTTACAGTTGCCTCTGTTAAATTTGATTCTGTTATTTTCAGCCCATGATTTTAATCTATAACGTTTGTTATTGAATGTTATTTTTTCTAGGTGATTAATTATCCTATCCAATGTTGTGTCATTTGCAAATTAGAGAAGTATTTATTCTGCCTCTTCATCTAAATCATTAACAAGGCAAATGAAGAATACAGGGCCAAAGACTGAAGCTTATTCCTCCTCCCTCATGGGATACCTTCAGTCTATCAAGCTAGAATGCTTGATGAACAACCATTATGAGTATTTTGGGGATATGATTTTGAGCTGGCTATATATCGACTTAATTGTCATGCCATCCATCTTACTAATTAGAAAATTTGGGGGAATTTTGGCAAAGTCTGAACTATTACATCTATAGCATTCTCCTAATTTATTAAGGACGTTAACCAATCAAAAATAAATGGCTAGAGTTATTCTTGGCAGATCCATGTTGACTTCTTGTAATTATGGGATTGTTATCAGGTACCTACAGATTGACCCCTTCATGAACTGCTCTCAAATCTTCCCAGACATCAATATCAGACTGATTTGTATGGTGTTCCTCGGGCCCTCTTTCCCCCCCTTTTGAAGATAGGGACTCTTCACCGCCTCCAGTCATCTGGCACCTTATCAGTTCTCAAGGACTTCTCAGAAATAATGCCTAAAAGTTCAACCAGTTTGTCAGCAAATTCTTTCAGTTCTCTTGGGTGTAATTCATCTGGACCTGGCAATTTAAACTCATTCAAAGTAAATAAGTTTCTCTTGACTTGTTATTTATCAGTCTTGAACTTTACATCTTTCCCCTTCATCTTATTCTTCAGTGTCTCCTGGAACACACATTATCTTTTTGGAGAGGACTGAGTCTCAAATAAGAGTTGAAGGAGATGAATGGCTCTGTCTTTTCTTTGTTCCTGCTAACATTGTCATCTACTAAGCAATTCATATGCTGATCAATTTATTTTATTTTGAGTATATCTGTACCTGAAGACACCCATTTAGCACATTCCTCAGCACATTCTGAGTTGTAGATTTACTAACACCATCTCTGAAAATCTGGCCAATTTTTAAAATATTCTTCCTTGGCTACTGTTCCCTCCTTTGTTCTATTTGTATTTCTCAATGTTCTCAGATTTTCACTAACATGCTAGTGCAGCCACATGGGCTTCTTCAGCTATCCTCCATCTTTTCCCTTCATTTAAATTGTTTGCAATTGTGCTTTTAGTATCTCCTGCTCCTTTTCCCAGTGTGCCCAGCAGTCTCTTAAGACTCATAGCTTTCCTGTCCGCCTTTCCTTCCTCAGAGTCCCTTGCTATCCAGTTCATACACTCAGTTCAGTGTTTCAGATCTATGTGTTTCAAGAAGACTTTGTGATATCCTGTCACCAAAGCAGGACCGTTGGACTCACTAGGATTGAAGCCCCACACCCTGATTCTTTGACATGGCAGCATCTGGGGGGTTTCTCCCCCCATCCTTGTCCATTTTCAGTAGCATGAATTTCATGCTTTTTAGACAAATAGCACCCAAGTAGTTGTCACCAATAGGCTTATTCAGTTTTACTAAACAAGCTTTTCAGAATTCCAGCCTTTTTTCCACCCCACCCAGTGATATCACCGTCATACCTCTGAGCTGTTTTCACAGGTAAATAACATGGAACAAGCATATTTGTTAAAAATCCCTTTTAAAAAAGGTTGTTTGTCTGAAGCGTAGGAGGAAAAGGAAAATTGTCACTGTTTCCTTTGAAAAGAGAAGGAAAGTACTTATGCCTAGTATTTCACATTTCAATGTGCAAAATGATTCAAATATGCTGATATTTTGAGAATGTGGAAATGGATTGTTGCAGATTCAGCGTTAAGGAATGAGCGCCTGCTGTCAAGATATTACAGATCCATCTCTGCTTATCCTAATATTCTACTTTTGGCTAGATTAAAGAAATGAGAAGGGGAAACAATGCTCTATCCTTTCTGTTCACTGAGGAGAGATCAGTGCTTTAGAGTTGGGGCTCTGAAGCAAGGTTTATGTTACGTGTAAGTGGGTGGAAGTGAATAGAAAAAAAATCTAGCTTTTCTGTTACTCCAAATTTTGGGGAGGTGGTGTTGGGAGTAGCCATTAGTAAAATCCTTGGCGGAGTTTTTTCTGTTGTTGTTTTGCCGTAGACAATGAACTGCTGGGCTCCATTTCTATGTTGCTGTGTGTAAAGTTGTAGCATGGGTCTTACCTCCATCTAATCCAGCCACTGCTTTTCAGTAGCAGCTCAGCTCTTGATGAACCAAGATCTGGGGCACCAAATGGTCAGTTAGCTTTAAAAAAGGAGGATGTTCACCTGGAGGATGGCAGCTTTCTGCTCCATCTTAGTCCATTGTAATTGGATCAGGCCAGCAGCCTCTCCGTAGGTATTTATAAAGCCTTATTTATTCAAGAGGGACAAGAATACTGGGAAGAGAATGTGACCCCTGCCCACCTCCCCCAGGCAAGCAGCGTCTGAAGCTTTGGGGCAGGCATCTGCTGAATGCGACGATGCAGCCCATGTGCCTCGTACAAAGTGTTAACAGGAGACAGGGCTGGGCAGCAGCCGCACACCCCTAGCAGCTTGGAGCTAGGCTCAGTCCGTCATAAGCCGAGTCTCTGCAGCAGAAGCTTCAGGCCCCTTTTAAGCAGTATTTAATTCTCCACTTAGGGCCAACAGGTTCAGCTGGGGGGAACCTGTTCGAAGGCTGAGTGGCTTTGGGTGCTAGTCAGCCTGATGGAGAAATATGGTACGGAGGATGCGGGCTTTTTAAAGATATGTATGTCCTTATGGACAATTAAAATACCTGTGAATACACACCTTCCTGCTTGTTTATGTTTGTGTGTGTGTGTTAACATGTGTGTGCATACATGGGGAAGAGTATATCTATTACTGTATCTGCATGTACATATTTATTAGTCCAGTTTCCCCCTCCCCCTTTTAAGTTTGCTATTCTGTATAGCCCCCATTTCAGATTCCTGTGGTGCCACGAATTGCAGACTGAGGGGAATCAGTAAAATAATCTTCCTAATTTCTACAGTTGGAGTACATTAATCACATGGGACCTACTTGAGCTACAAAAATCCAGAGGACTGCTAGATGCAACCAAAGAGACACTGCCATCTCCTCTTTTAGAGGTATGCAGTACAGATATGGTAGTCGTAAATTTCAAGAGAGCACATGGGAACAATTTAGCTGAGAAGCCAAGCAAAGTCTGGCCTAGTTGGTACATGGATTTATTTATTTCTTCAACCATTCCATTTGTAAGCCACCTCAATTGTCCAAGCAACTCTAGGTGAGATACAATACAGCATATTAAAACACTAAAACAAGTAGCAAACAGCAATAAACCACACAAAAAAAATACATATATTCTGGAATATTTGTACCTTTCAAGGACAGCTTGGATGGGCAGTCCTATACAGCACCTCAAGGTGACTAAAGCATAAGGGACCATGAGTAGGACCATCAGACCATCCAGGAAAGGGTGTTAATTAGGGCACAAAATGGATTTTTGCAAAGGTCATCCTGGACTCATGGCTCTTGCTCAAACAGCAGGTAGCAGCCATGAATGGGAGACTGTAGGATATTGCAAGAGCTGTAGGCTAGACTGTGAAGTTGAAAAATATGGCAAACTACTGATCCATTGTTGTCAAGAAAGCTACATGAAAGTGTCCATGAGGTCACCAGGGGCTGAGATTGAATTGAAGGAGGGTTTACGTACAAAAAAAAATGGAATCTAGTGAGTCCAATGCTACTTCTGCCCCCTTCCTGTCCTGCCTTGGAATGCCATGCTAAGCACTTATAGCTAAAAGAAATATTGTCTGTTAGGCCTCCAGAGATTTTAATGGACACATATGAGTGGCTGGATTTTTCAATAAAATTTCTAATATTGGCTCTCTTTCATTTGCAAATTCCTAAACAAACAAGATGTGATCCAGAGAAAGTGATAGCCCCCAAAAGGACGCAATTAGAGATCTCTTAGCTGGATAGGTTGTCTTTTGACTGGAAAATATTAATCATCTTTCATGTTCAAGTGTTATAGGTTCAAGACCTGCCTTTGGAGTTTATAGATGATAGTTTCACTGAGCTGCAAAGAAGTCAAATGTAGTAATTTAATCTGTCTTGATGCAAAAAATTTCATAATACAGATGGTCCTCACTTAATGACCACTTGTTCAGCAACCATTCAAAGTTATGACAGTGCTGAACGAGTGGTACTTACAATCGGTCCTTAAAGTTCCAGCCATCACAGCATCCCCCCAGTCACATGATCATGATCTGGGTGCTTGGTGACTGGCTCACAATTATGATGTTGCAGTTTCCCATGATCACATGATTACCATTTGTGATCTTCACTGCTGGCTCCCAACAAGCAAAGTCAATGGGGAAGACAGTAGGAGGTCGCAAATGGCAAACATGTGGCATTGCGCTTAATGACAGTGCAGGATTAGCTTAACAATGGCAACCAGAAGTACCAGAACTGCTGTCGCTAAGCAGCGCAGTCACGATATCATGCTTTATGACATCACTTAGTGATGGAAATTGTAGTCCCAATTACTGTCTTAATCAAGGACTACCTGTATGGTATCTATTAAAGAATAAACTATTGAACACCCAATTTTTTACAAACTGCAAGCAGAACAAGAAAAATATATTTATGTGAAATAAGCAAGTATTTAGTTTATCTGTATACAGTTTTGACTGGGAAAAGACAGAAGTTACATAGCTGTGCTGATCTGCTAGAATCTGCATAGGTTCAGCCTCCAGTGTTTATGCTTGACAGATGTAATGTAATCTTGTGTTGGTGAGATGTCTCCATTGAACTAAAGCTTTCTCTCACAGACCCAGTGAAAGTTATCTTTGCATTGGTGATCGTACCAAAGACTGTTTTGCATCAAGGCACAATTCTCACCTTTTCCACCATTAGGCTCATGATGCCAATAGCTACGAGAGAAAGGGAGGGGGATCCTGGTTTAGAATGTCATTTGCAGTCTTTTTCCATTTGAAAATGTTGTAAACCAAGCTCAAGAAAAATATACCATATTACCTTCATATATGTAGCAATAGGGCTGAGTCTGTAGGATGAAATGCTACAGGAATCAGACAACAGCCTATGGGTCTACATACACAAAGACTGCCATTCAACATTAATGAATTCTTCTTACTATTATCTAGCCTAGTAATGTCATCTTTGACTGATCTGTATGGGTTTGCATAGGAGTCTTTCCCCTTTACCTGTTGCCCAAGCGGGCCAATTTTTCAGTCCCAAAGGCAATAAAGGGCTACACATGTTTGTACACCATAACTCATAGCCTATCACACACATATTCATTCATTCATTCATTCATTCATTCATTCATTCATTCATTCATTCATTCATTCATTCATTCATTCATTCATTCATTCATTCATTCATTCATTCATTCATTCATTCATTCATTCATTCATTCATTCATTCATTCATTCATTCATTCATTCATTCATTCATTCATTCATTCATTCATTCATTCATTCATTCATTCATTCATTCATTCATTCATTCATTCATTCATTCATTCATTCATTCATTCATTCATTCATTCATTCATATGCTCCACTCTTACTCATACACAGACACACAGATCACTATACACAAAGCTAACATTACCAGTGTCAAAGCATCACACTATACATAACCAGTGTGCTGCAATAATGATAGATTACAGTTCTTAGACATGACAAATACAGCTTCAAGTTCTTATTTAACTATGATGCTAATGAATTAACTTGGAGAAATCACTGTGTCTTAGGCTAATCTGTTTCACAGAGAAGCAATCATTGAAGTGAGCTCTATGGAGAAAGAGGTTTAGGTTTAATGCAACCGTTAGCAAATATATACATTAAATTACTATCCTACCTATATTTTGGAGAGTTTCCTCTCTTAAATACAGGACAACCTGCTTCTGAGTAAGCCTGCATAGGCCTCTGCTATACCCGAGGGTCAGCAACCTTTGTGCAGTGATGCAAATGCCCCCCAATAAATTATTTTTAATTTGTTTTAAATAAAAACGGCCAAACCCTTTTTGATTTTCAAGCGAGAACACACAAGGTTCATGAGATCTCATCCATTTAAAATTTTTGTTAAATTATTCTTACTTGCATTAGTTTGAAGGTTGGTGGGCGCCATCTAGTGGTAATATGTGCACCTTGGCACCTGCACACACTAAGGGCATGTTCAGAGACACCAAGGATTCAAGACAGTAGCTAGAATGGCAGCTGCTGAATGATTCCACAATGCTAAGAGAACCCAAGCAGAGGACTACAGGGCTAGCCTCAGAACAGCTGCCTGAGCTGAGCTCTTGCAACAAACCCTCTGGACACCAAAGCCCAGCATACCTGTTGTCATGTTCTACGCGTGTCCCATCCACCCACTTCCAGTCACCTTCAAGCACCTGGTCAGTAAGGCCGATCCAGCAGGCAGGAGTCTTCATAATGGTTGTAACGTGGCCCTGTCACACATACATAAAATGAATCCCAGAACAGTAGCTGATGCCATCCATTATAAGAAAAGACAAATGTGTTTTATGGACCAACTCGGTTTGCTAATGGCAGAAAACTTCTAGCATTATTGCCTTTAATCCAATACATGGGGTGTGTTGAAAAGGATGCAGGCCCATGTGTTTTAGCTCAGGTGACTCCTTAAAAGAATCAAGTGGTTTGGAAAGGTTAAGAGAAGTGAAGGCAAACAAGGATTCTCTAGGTCAGGAGTGGTCCTGCTGCTCTTGAAATGCTTTTTTGTGGCCCCTCTACCTCTCTTAGATCCCAGTTGTTGAAAATTGCTGGCAGTTTCCCACCCGTTCTAGGCAAGAAACCCATGGCAATTAATAGCCTAAGCTCTAAAGCAGGTTTCACCTGTTTTTTAAAAAGCAAAGAACTCTCCTCCAAAGCCAGAAAAAAGAGAAAATCCTGACTTTGCCCAAGGGCAAGACATGGGCCCATCTTATCCTCGTGACTCTTGCCCCCTCCCCTGTGTTCAGGGAGTCCCTCAACCACCACATTTTGTCAACTTCTGGTTTTGGTCTCCTGGACTCCAGTTGCTGGCAGACCAGCCAGCAGACTGAGAGTAACAGAAGCAGGAGCCCATCCAAGAGTGGAGCAACAGATTGCCCAACCCATGGGATATGATACTTACACCTCTTCAGCTAATTTAAATCTTCTCTCCTACAAGGTCTCTCCAATGGGAGCAAAATGATGCATTCCTATTCCAAGGTTAGCATTGTGTTTCCTCTCCTGGGGATCATGTGGATTCCTTTTCCAATCTACCTGTAGGCTTCTGGGCACACATCCTTTTCCACCTTTCCACCAAGGAAATTTTCTTTCTTGCCATGGCATATCGGAGGTTTGTTTTTTTCTGCCTTCTGCAAACAGGAAGAAGCTCTACCCTTCCTTATGCTGCCTCCACCCCCACCCCCACCCCCACCCAAACTAAAGGATAGTTCCCAAAATAGAGTGTATATATCACTGGCCAGACATGGAAAGTAAATTATGTTCAAATCAAGTACATTAAATATAAAATATTCTCTCAATGTACACAGAGTAGTGGCACATATTTCCAATTTTTGAAGATTTGCACACTGCATAAAAGAATACTTTTTTTGCATAATAGAAATACAAAAGCACATCCTAAGAGCAAGTAATACATGAACACAACTAATTGTCTAAAAACCCAATGCTAGATCAATACTTCGGGCTAGGTTCCATTCAACCTACTGGACATTGTGACCTGATGCTTAGAGTCTGCCTTTCAGAATCAGAACAGTTTCGACCACAGTTGTTTTTCCTTCGCTTGTTCTCCTTCCCTCCTTCTGCCTCTTCCCTCTTTCTGCCTTCTGCTAGGAATTTGCTGTGCCCTGAATGTCCTAAAGAGCCTGCTGTATTATCCTGCTGGGTCAAGGATGCCTGCTATAAATGTGGTTCTGAGGCTGTATTACGTAAATGCCAGTCCAGAAGACATAACTGAAATTCCTAGTGAAAACACATCACTCCTAACATTTTCCCATCTGAAATTCATCCTGTATTTAAACAGAAGTTTTTTTTATTTAACTTCTAGACCAGAATTATGGGTCTATTTGTATTTCCTTGAAGAAGTGAAGCACACATTCACTTAAGCTAAAATACTTTTAATTCAAAACTCTCCTAGGATCATGCAATTTAGAGCAGTTATTAAGCTTGGATCTACTAAAAACATAAATACGATCTGTTGTGGTTATTTATTACACTGTGTAGTTGTTAGGTAATAGTAGACTCTAATCTTTTACTGGGACCGTCCTTTAGATTTCGTGTATGACAGACTTCTCCAACCTGGATGCCCTTCAGATGTTTGGGTCAGCTCCCAGTATTCTCTATTCAACTGTTGTCGAATAGAATAGAAGTCTACTCATTTGGGAAACAGCCATATTGAGAGAATTTGGTACATAACTTCAGAATGTGATAACCTAATCCTGCTTGGGGACACTCCTGCACTTTCTGCTGAGTGGGAACTGGGACTTCTGCCATAGTCATGCCCTGTTGCCATCACTGCTGTGGTAGCCTGAAATAGCTATATGTTCTATGTAATATACATCGTTACAGCTTCTAAATTAGCTATAACTTTTATAGACCACTGAAGGCCAATTCTCAGGGAGCACTATATTCACTAGTTGATTATATGGGAACTAAAAGGATTTCTGAAGGCTACCAGTGCCCGGATGAAATTGTTTAGCAGTACAGTCTTCCCACATTTCTGATCATCTGGCTACTCCTACCTTTTCTTCTATGCTGTTGATCATCACTAGGTGGAATCCCATCGAGGTGCATGATTGGTTGGCCACTTCCCAAGTTCCTGGAGAGTATGAAAAGAAGTAGTAGCTCCCCTGAAAGAAGGTCCAATCTTTTGAAAAGGGGTTGCAAGCTGGTTGGAGAAGGAAAGAAACATATTGCCACCTTAGTATTGATTCCGATCTTAAATGCTGTCAGTGGGAAAAGTATTCTGTGAACTTTGGTAACCATAAACTGCTCTGCTTGGTTGGAATTCCAAATTGAAGTGCCGTACCTCTGTCACTGACTCAAATTTATATACAGGTGCTGACATGGGAACATCACCATTTTGCAAAAAGATCAGTCTAAATCTTTTGGGATGGTAAGAGACTTTGGCATTAGCCTCTTCCAGTTCTAATTATCGTGCAGGATATATACATATAGATAATCACCATGATTGCAGGGTGGTGGGTGTGGACTGAAAAAAATGCAGCATTCTCATCCAGATAACATTAAACCAAAAGGAGGCTTAAATTTCAATTTCCTTTCATCTCTGGGAAAGACTTTGATTTGGATAATGGCAAAAGAGCTCAGTCCAGAGTTGTCCTTGCAGGTTGACGGAGTGCTGCATCTTGCCTGAAGGGATAGAAGGACTAACCGCAGCATGTTCTATACTTCTTATCACACATGACACTGGTTGAATAAGATTTGGGTGGTATCAGAGAAACAAAAGTAAATGGCCTTAATTATAGCATGTGCAATACAGACCTTTTGTGGCTAGGAAGATTCTAGTGGTTCCTTTGGCCCCCCACCAGACTCCCTGCCTCATCTGATTTTTTAACAAGATTATTTGAACTAAAAAAAGACGTGCAGCACCTCCCTGGACCTGCCTCCAACACAATCCATATTTCATACAATGCCTGTGCCCTAATGTAGCCCCACAGCCACTTGGGGTGCTTGGGATTGCAGCCTACTGCTTTGCTTGGAAGTGTGTCTACCAGCCACCCGAGAGGGCCAAGTCAAGCTGGAGGGATAGAAGGCTTCCTGGGTGCTTAACCAGGGACATTTGCTTTCTGGAACATTAGGAATATCTTGTGATTGCCCGGGTCAACCATTCTGAGAATGCCTCACGAAGCTCTCCAAATCCTAACTGAGCAGTTTAGGAATTCCTTCTCTACCTTTCCATATTTCTATTCTCCATCTGTAAGGAAACCATTTCCCCACCTCCCCTACTGAAAAAGAGCTTTTTTCTCCATAAAACATCTTGGTGAAGTATGTCTTCAGGGATACTTTTCCCACAATAGATTTCAGACCAACGTGTATATTGGTCTTTGTTGTGTGTTTGGACTACACTCCAGAAATTAGGTGGGGCCAAGCTGGAAACTAAATATGATTCAATGTAATTTAAAAGCAATTAAAGTTAACTAAGCAAACAGTAGCAATGCAGAGTAATGAAAACAGGATAGACACCAAAAATGATACACACAGCCCCAACTATGTATCCCTGAGTTTCAGCATCCGCTCCTTGCTGAGAAGATAGAGGTGAGCCACATATTATCCAAGGTGCCCACAGGCAAAGATCATAGCTGCAGATGTGAACCATGTCTTGGGTAACAGCAGCTTTAACTGTCAGATCTCAGTCCACCTAGAAAATCCAGGCACTTTCCTGGATAAAGTGAACAAGCCCTTGAGAAGAGATATGTTGCAGAGACTCACTGCTGCAGATGTTGTTTTGTGTTCCATAGATGAGCCAGCGACTCCAGCGCCCACTCTGACTATACAGCATTGCCAGCTTCTGGGCACTGTGGCCATAGTGGAAGTACAGAGCTGTGCCCTGAAGGGCCAGGAGATCATGGTCATGGCACTCCCAGTGTTGAAGTGATCTCTGTGCATTGCAGGGCTGCAGAATGATAGCCACCTTGTTTTTTGCCCCGTGGGCTTGAACACATAGCTGTGATGCCACATGACGAAGGAGGCCTCTGGAGAGCCGCTGAAAGTGCTGGGTTGGGACACCAGGGTCACAAGAAGCCTTGACGAGATTGTTGGGCTGTTTCATAGTCATGCAGGCATTGTGAGCCTCATTGTACAGTAAGAAGGAGTTAGGTACTGGAAGAGGAAGGGAGTGCGTGTGGAAGGGGGATAGGCGGAGGGTGAGTCAGAAGGGGGGACGGAAAGAGAGAGAAAAGGGGGAGAAAAACTTAGTCTCTGCTCAGCATCATCGAACAAGCCCCAAAGGAAAGGAAAGCCCAACAGTTCAACTCTGGATGACTCCTGAAGACGATCAAAAGCTTACAATTATTATTTGAAATCCTAGTAGACCTACCCCAAATAAATCTTTTTGACTTTGAACTGTGCTTCTCCCTTCCTTCCTTCCTTCCTTCCTTCCTTCCTTCCTTCCTTCCTTCCTTCCTTTCTTTCTTCCTCCCTTCCCTTCCCTTTCCTTTCCTTTCCTTTCCTTTCCTTTCCTTTCCTTTCCTTTCCTTTCCTTTCCTTTCCTTTCCTTTCCTTTCCTTTCCTTTCCTTTCCTTTCCTTTCCTTTCCTTTCCTTTCCTTTCCTTTCCTTTCCTTTCCTTTCCTTTCCTTTCCTTTCCTTTCCTTTCCTTTCCTTTCCTTTCCTTTCCTTTCCTTTCCTTTCCTTTCCTTTCCTTTCCTTTCCTTTCCTTTCCTTTCCTTTCCTTTCCTTTCCTTTCCTTTCCTTTCCTTTCCTTTCCTTTCCTTTCCTTTCCTTTCCTTTCCTTTCCTTTCCTTTCCTTTCCTTTCCTTTCCTTTCCTTTCCTTTCCTTTCCTTTCCTTTCCTTTCCTTTCCTTTCCTTTCCTTTCCTTTCCAGTATGATATAGGTATACTTGAAATTGGATGAAATCTTTTTTCAATTTTAGATCCTGACAGTCCTAGAAACTATCAGATGCCTGAGCATGCCAGCTATTAAAGATCATCATACTAATGTGATTGCTTGTAAGACATTAATGGCATACAACATGAAATGCAATTGAATATTAAATGCTTAATAATTTATGTAAGATTTTTTATCAACCATACATATGGAAAGTCAATTTTATGCAACTATTCAAATAGCCAGAGAACACTTGGTAAGCCTAAAACTAGCAAAATATTTTTTAAATAATTTTTTCAGACCTTTTAAAACTGAGGGCAGACCAGGGGAGGGGATCTGGAACAACAACCCACAGGACTGGTGCTACTTAATCTGGCCATGATTAAGTAGAACCTGTCTCCCTGTAAGATCCAACCGCTTCGTTACATTTTCAATATTTGTCTGAATAACTGATGTTTCTAACATAGTTTTGTTTAATTTATTGTAAAGCATTTTTATTCCAACTACTCCAAAGACATCGGGCTGTTTACAATAAGATAAGAGGTACAGCAACTCCTTAAAGGCAAAATCTACAAAATAACACTTAAGTGGTACAAGAGCAATTTTTAGAACTAATACTAAAAGAACTGCAAGCAGAAATAGGAACATGTATTTTAACAAAGAATATGAAACCTGAATCTAACAATGGCCAGCCAGGGGATCCTTATAATGGTACGTAGCAGGAAGAATTGCATATAAGTCTTCATGAGCTATATTAAAAAGGAGATTATTATTTGTTAAAACACATGTTCCTGTTTCTGCTTGCGGTTCCCTTGGTATTAGTTCTGAAAAATACTCCAGTGAAGAAAAGGAACTTTCCTGTACTACTTAAATATTAGTTTGCTTAAATTCTTTATTTGGAGAATTGGTACAATTCCTTGCAAGAGCACAGAAGAGCACCAATGACCTCGAATGCCTTGCTGGTTGGAGATGGAAGTCCTGATAAGGACACTCTTGATGATAAGGTCAAACAGCAAGAGGCGAAGCTAAGAAGCTACCCTAGGAGGGTTGAGGATAAGTGGAGCTCTGCAGGACGAGGGAAACCAACCCATCTGCAGCAGGAATTCCAGAATCAGACCCAGAAGGTAGTGGCAAACCGCTTTTGTACTGTTGCTAGTAAAAACCATATGGACATGGTTGTAGCATTTAAATGAATCTGGGTGTCAGATGATGGAATATCCAGGTTGGCAGGCATTCCTCTAGTTCAGTGTTTTTCAACCTTGGCAACTTGAAGATGTATAGACTTCATCTTCCAGAATTCCCCGGCCAGGTCTCATTACTGGGAAAGAACACTGAGCTTCCACAAGTAAATCACAAGAGGTGATGACAGAACCCAATGGGAGCTGCAAGAAAGGATGGTCACTGGTAGTGCCAGTATTGAAAAAGAAGTTTCTTGATGTACAAAGACATAAACAATTGGAATATGGAATGCGGCGGGCATGAACCAAGGAAACCTGAGATTGACAAAGTGGAAATGAAGTATACTAAATTGAATGTTTTAAGACTATGTGAGCTTTGGTAGACCAGAATGGGCTGTTTCAAATCAAATTATAGTATCCAGGGCATAAAGGAATGGAGTGGCCAGAACACTCCACAAGGACATTGGTACATATGTGCTCATTTCTAAATAATAAACAACAGGATTTTACATGTCAGAATTAGTTATTCTTTTATATACATTTATCCATTTATTACAGATGGAAGAATAGATGACATTGAAAAACTCTATGGCAAATTGCAAGAGGAAATAAATGTAACATTTAGAAAGAATGTAGTACTACTAGTGAGTGATTGGAATACAAAGTTTGGAGAAATGGAGGAACCTGCAATTACAGGAATATTTGGGTTGGGTGAATATCAAAATGCAGGCAAACACAAACTGCTCCTAAATATCACTGGATAGACATCAGAATCAAACTGACTATATAATAGGAAACAGCAGATAGAGAAATGTAATTCTAACTGCCAGGGCACTTCCAGGTGCAGGCTGTGGGACAGACCATGCATTAATGATGTCAAATATTGGGTTAAACTTAAAACATTAGAAAAGGATCGATATGCCTTCAAGATTTGACCTGTACTCTTAAATGTATGCAAAAGTAACTGCAGGAGCTATGAAAGCGATGGGAGATTCCGTGAGAACTGAAGCAGAAAAATATTTCCAGGATGTCAAAGAAGAAAAGATCCAAGTAACTTTCTGAGTTGGATTGTCAGGGAAAGATGGAGGTTGAAACCCTGGGGCAACAAAAGATCATGCCATGCAGACTTTCAACATCAGACAAGAAAGTGCAAGGAAAGCTCTATCAATAGAGAATGCCAACAAACAGGAACATCGTGAGAGTTATTTTAGAAAGATCAGAAATATCAAAGCAACATTTTCAAGAAAGGTAGGAACAGTGATGTACAATCATGGAAGAGAGGCAAATTAGGTTAAAAAAGATGGAAAGACTATATTGACATTCCTTGCAAGCTTCTGAGAGCAAAGCAAAGCTTGAATGCATGAGCAACTTCCCCAGCTGTCCAGGATACTCACCTGCCTCTTGCAGCCGCTTGTTCTCTTGGTGTGCCTGTTCCAAGGTAGCAACCATCTTAGAATCTGTTCAGGCACACACAGGCAGACATGTCTCAGAAAGAGCTACAGATCCAAAGGTCAGTGCTGAGGCCACCAGCACAGTAGCATTTGCCAAATGAGGCTGTTTGGAAGTGTTGTCTTCCCCTGGTTTTTACTGGGAGTGGTCCATTACCACACTTCATTCAACAGGGGACTATTCCACATACTCATGCAAACATCATCAGCTTTCCTGCTCATATTGGTGCCCCTTCCTAGGTTTAGCTATTTCTTTGATCATTGTATTCTCAGAAAATTACCCAACCACATTACGCAGAGCCACCACTCAACCTTAATATGGAGCACTTTCTAGAACAGAACCAAGCATGCAACCAAATTAAGCAAAGCTACCTTGCTCTGATGCACTTCAAGGCTGAATGGTCTGTACACAGTTTTGAAGAAGCCAGGCATATTTTTGCTATTCATACATTAGATTTCTATCCTGCTTTCCTCTAGGCGCTCAAGATAAGATAGATAGCGCATTCTCCTTCACTTTTCCCCTGCAATAACAATCTTGTGATGCATGTTGCGCTGAAATAGAGACTGGTCCAATGTCAGGTCATGAGCTTCTGTGGCTGAGGATGGATTTAAATCTGGGTCTTTCTGTTCCTGTTCCAGGTCCTTAACCCAGAGACTCCCAACTTTTTTCAGATCAGTGGGCATAGTTGGAATTCTGAGAGAGTGGTGGGGGTCTCTCACAAAATTCCTGCTTTTGTGTCTGTTCACAAAATGGTTGCCATGGGGGAGATAATCAGTGGGAAAGCACCAGCTTGCCTGGATCTCACTTGACATGATTCTTTCTAGACTCCTTCCCTTTTAGATTCTCCTTACTGTGCCTGTTTATCTTTGTCCTTTCTCTAAGTAGGTGAGCATACTTCCCAATAAAGCATTGAGCTGCAGCCATCGTTTTTGTAGGGGACAAAGGCACTCTTGGAAATACAAGGGAAGCTGGATATTGGGATTTTGTTTTGCTTCCCATTTTTATTTCTTTTTAAGTGAACATTCAAGTGGGACTGATCAAGGAACTTGTTGGGCACTAAGGAAAGTGTCTGCAGATGGTGTTTCTGGCCCCATGCTGGCAATCCCTAGCTTTGGTCACTACGCCAGTTAAGAGAGAAGTAAGTGGCACCTACAGGGGCATAAGAGAGGATTTGAAATGGACATGAGGATATGGTAAATATGCTAGCCTGTCACCATGGGCAGCTTAAACTAGTTACTTTACTTCCAGTGGGCACCTCCATGGTTATCTAGAAATCATACACAGCACCTGACCCTTTGGCCACATCAATAGTCTTCTCATGAATCTGCTGCTTCCTACAGGTTCTGAATTGATGGAAGGGCAGAAGAAAGGAGGCTCCATCTTGGGGAATCCAGAAATGCCATGAAGTGTTCCAGGCTTTCCCCTTCCAAAAGCCAAGCAGGAGCTCTACCTTCTACCACTAAGCAGTGGACCCGAGTCTAGATCCCAGGTAGCCTTCCTGAATCCCAGCTCTATATTCTGATTTTAAGAGAATATGCTGGTGGCTGCATGGATGTCCATCTTGTAACTCATCAGTCTTTGGAGACCCAGCAGAACACTTACAGTGCACCAGTCCCAGAGCGAGCAGCAACATGTTCAGGGACACAGATGTGGCCAGCACAGCGGTACCAGCTACTATGCCAGCCTTGCATGTGAAAGGTGGTTTCCAGCATGCTGTGAAGAACAAAGAGAAGAATTTGGGTTGCTCTTGGTCCCCCAGCAACTGCCCTTCCAGTCCCATATTACAGACTTTTTGAAAAAAAAAAATGCTTGAAATGAATTCCTGTCTTGCCTTTTGCTAAATATATCTTTCTATATATAAATATAGTGATAACTCTTTTTATCAAAAAACATGTAAGCCATATATAAATGACAGCATTCTTAAATACAATAGGAACTAACCCAAAGAGAAAATAATGTAAACATGGGGCAAGGAGCAATCTACCATGTTGAGGCTGCCAGTTGAACACAAACAAACCCATAGAAAGGAAGCAGTCCAAAACAGGGAGCTGTAACTACTTCCCTGCAGCCCTTAATACAGGCCACGTTGGCTGCGTTGGAAGTCCAAATCTAATGGCAGCATCTCATGTCCTACTGATCACAAGGGGGCAGTTGAGTATAGATGGAGAGTTAAGGATTTCTAACTGTGCCCCTTCTTTGTCTGGCTGAGGCCACTTCCTTCTGCCTTTCTTCCCAGGTACACGCACACAGAGGTGGCAAATGCTTTTGGACTCTCCTCCTGGTAGGAGGATGTAAGGTGTTAGGCATGGCCTATTCCTATGTACATGGACCTTCCCGAGAAGCTTGACCTTGGTATGGTCCTTCCATACCTGGACAGCAACCTGCAGGCAGTGGCTCTGCTTCTCTCCCCTCCAGTCTGATTGCTGGGTCAATGGGCTCATATGTGCTCTCCACCTCGGGGTTCTCTTTGGAGTCTGTTGGGAGGAAAAGGAGACTCTAGTAAGACAGTCCCAATTGCATTTGTGCGTTACTGTTATGTCCTCATGGAGGGAAGACCAGACCAAACCCAGGAGAAGCAGTGGGGGATTCGGGATTGACAAATATAGCAGCCAAGACAGCACAATACTGGCTAGCATGAATTTTTGAGATCACAGCCATATCTCCTACCACTGATAGGAAGCTCCCTGCCTGTTTCTTATTTTGCAATGAGAAATAAAAAGGAAAAGAGAAAGAGTAAAATTTCCCCCTTACTGCCATCTATTGTAGAACAAGTGAAAGACCTATTAGTTACCAAGCTACTTTCTATTAATTAGGAAGCTTTCTATTACTGTGATGTTGCGGGGAACCTTTGCTGAATGATCAGTAACTCATATGAAAACAATCTTCTTCAGTGACCTGGAAAGTCACAAATGGTATCATGATATCAATATTTTGCAATCTTGCAAAGTTTTAAATTATAATCTCATATTGCTCATTCAACATATGATAGTTGGAACAAATGGTAAGTATTTCTGCATATTAGAATCATAAAATCAAGGAGGTGGGAGGGACCTGGGAGGTCTTCTAGTCCAACCACCTGCCCAGTGCAAGAAGCCTCAGACCATCCAGGCAAATGGCTGTCCAGTCTTTTCTTGAAAACCTCCAATGATGAAGCGCCCACAACTCCAGGAGGGAGGCTGTTCCACCGCTTAATAGCTCTCAGAGAGGAAATTCCTCCTTAGATCAAGTTTGGATCTCTCACTGTAAAGGTTCCATCCACTGGTTCTTGTCTTAACTTCAGGTGCCAGGGAGAATATATTCACACACTTTGCCCTGTGACATCCCTTCACGTATCAGAAGACTGCTATCATGTCTGCCCTAAGCCACAGAGGAGAGATAGGAGAAAGGGAATGCTCTGGCAATAACCCTGTTTCTTCTGTAATAGTTGGATCTACTGCTAGTCTACTAGTTTTCTTCACTTAAAATCACTTCCCCCTTCATTTTTTTCCTCCATAAGATCAATTTTTTCCTTAAATCAGTGCTGGATGAGGTAAGCTGGTACTCATTATCCTGAGGACATCTCTGTTTAATACTTTTTTGGGAGTCTCATCCTCCTCATGAGTAAATCATTAATATTCTTCCATAATTAAGTATTGAAGATCCCAAACCAAAATGTCTTCTGTTGTTTTGTGCTGCACAAATTGGATCAAAGAAACAGCTGGTTGTTATCCCAACTTCTCCAGAAACATGCCCTCAACATTTGGATTCAGATTCAGCAAAAGTTACATATGGATATTTCTGATACCTCCAGTGTGGCCAGTTATTTTTCAGGTTCAGATTTGCATTCAACTTAATTTAAAACCACTCTTTCATGTCATAGTGGACTCTCGCTTACATAACTTGGGTTTGAGATGCCTATACCAAAAATCATCTAAGAGTGGCCAGGAAGAGGCTTCTTTGCGAAGGCTAGAGATTGTTTGTCTTCTTTGCTCCAGCTCACCCTCTGCTTACTTCAAGATTCTGTGCTCTTTCAAACACTCAGGAGCACTTTTTCCTAGACTGAGATCATTGTGGGTAAATGGGGAAAGTTTCAACCTTCCTTCCCAGCTATTTGTTTTGCAAAATCCTCTCCTTACCCTTAACAGCCATCTGGCTAACCATACAGTTAGGATGGTGCCAGTGAAGTTTTTCTTTTTTAATCCCTGCATATGGAGAAGAGGAAAGAAGAAAAACTGGGGAAAAAAGAAGGGCAAGTATACATTATCTATGTAATGGATTGTGAAGCATTTGTTCATTTATAAGACTTACAGGCTGCTCTGATCAACCAACTCTGAGGGTATACAACTTCCCAAATCTGTAATTTGGGTTAAAATAAATACCTAATAAAAAATAAAACCAAGATCATACATAATATAATATAACCATATATACACCAGGATTCAAAGATCCCCAAAACACATTTAAATGTAATTGCTCAACCAGAAGGATAGTTGTAGCAGTCTTGTCCCTCACAGACTTTCTAATGATCAGGGCAGCCAAATGTCTCAGGTAGGATATGTTGCAGGGGAAGGGGGAAGCGACTGAGAATACAGCCCTGTGTTATTTGCAAGAGTACTGCTGACACCAAGGACAATTCATCACTCATAGTACCCTGGTAGCTAAGCAACTCTGAGAAGACTTTGGGAGTAGGCCAAGTTTGTCCTCTGGAAGTTCTAAGCTAGGGTGTGAAATCAAAGGAAAAATATGCACTGGAAGGTGGAGGGGAAGCATCAGGGAATGAGGTAAATGCCTTGAAACTCCATCCTGTGTACAGCTAGGAGTAGGCACAAGAATGGTGAAGAGGTATCCCCAAACTCAGGACTGGAGTTTGCCATCTCACACTCCTCAGTAGATCCATTTGAGCCAGGTGCTCTCAAGCATTACACTTGCCACTTACCTGACCACCTTCTCTGTTCATGGACCTTGGGATCATCTGTCTGATGTTCAAGCACATCCACATTGCTATAGAGTCCCTTCCACAATGCCATCCTGTGGAAATGCTCCTCTGCAAAACTTGCTGTGTAATACGTGTGCCAACTGATCAAGTTCTGTGCGCACGAAGTGGGAGGATCCCATCACAACTGACTGGCTGATGTGAAGGAAATGAGACAGGAGCTATCTAAGGGTCCTGAATGCCAGGAAAACACAAAGGAAGCTCTTTCTAGGTCCTGCCCAAGTGTCCTAACGTAAAGAGTGGCAATTTGGTGGAAAAGGAAAATATATATAGCCTCCCAAGCCTGCCAATCAAAATGTGAGATTTTCAGAACTGATCAGTACAAGTTGGACAGTCAGAGAGGGTTCTAAATTGAATTTACAAATAAATATGCATAAATAGGTGGATGCATACTATATTTCAGAGTTTAAAAAATATTTCAATAAAGTATTTGTAACTGGCCACATATGATTGTAGTCCATGTGACACAGATGCCCAGGACTTAGCGTAGACTCAGAGGCTGGAGGTACAGTTCAAGACTTAAGAAAGGCCAGTTATGGGTTGCATAACATGGCAGAAATCTCAGGCTTGGTCTGCTGGTGGATCTTTCGTGTAATGTTTCTGGCATCACTGTTTCCAAAATGTGAGTGCTGCCTGCTGGCAGACTTTCTTGCAATTTCTTTGAGAACATCTGTCATTTCCTCACTAGTTCTTTTTGTTTCTGTTTTTTGGGGGTTGGGGTGGGGGAATAATACATATTTTCCCCCCTCTTTCCTCCACTGTTTGGGCTGCACGGATTGACAGTCACTCTTGCCAGTAAAGCAGCAGCCTTCCTTTGAGACAGATAAAATACATTTAGAATTGCTCAGCCTTTTTGGTTGTAAATAGACATCTACCACTTCTGTCCAACCCCAGCAAAGTTGCCTGCTCCCTCCCTCCAAAATCTTTTGGTAGCCATGTCTGTTGGAAGGGGATATTTTCCCATGCAGCTGTATTCTAACAGTGTATTGTTCTCCGAAGGCTGTTCACATGTGGTTCCTCCTAGCAGTTGAGATTGGAGCATTTAGATGCTGGTTATTATGACATTCTCTCTATGGGTTTGTGCACGGTGAGTGTGGAGTTGTTGCTGTTATCGTACTGGGAATACTTGAAGACAGGGATGGGCAACATGCCTCAGCTGGGAGCTCCCCTTTAATTTTCTTGAAGACACATTGCCACAAGGGGTGTAGCTGATGACAAATCACTGAGATCAATAGAGTTGGGGTTTTTCGGGGTGGGGGGAGTTGATGGAATCCTGACTTTAACTAGAAAATGAACCCCCCAAAATTTAAAATTACAACAAATTCCAAAAAGAAAAGCAATTACTTCATTCCTAAAAATCAGTAACAAAATTTCCTGGAAATGTTATGCTGCGATAAATGTAGTTATTCTGTTTTGTGGTCCCAGTGCAAAGTCATGATGTGTCCTTGCAGATATAAAATAAACTTTTTGCTAGACATCTTTGTTGTTGCATGGTATTGGATTGATTTTGAGAGCTACCCTGTTCTAGCAGATGGATGAGCAGACTGTAGTGAAGGCTGGAAAATGTTAGACCAATGTCTAATTTTACATTATCTTACACCAAATGTTGCCAGTTACTCTCATGTAGTGGTTACTAAGAATAGTGCTTCTTATCTTTCTTGCCTTAGAGTGCTGAAGCACAGCTGGGCCTTTATGTTGGCCAGATTTAATCTTCATCCTGTCAACGGGCAGATAGAAAAATTCCTTTTGCCCAATGCCTTTGTGAGAGCCACAGGCGAGGTGGCAACAGGAGAGGTCCATGTTCTTTTCCTATAGTGTCCTTTTTATAGATGGTTTTATAAAAGTTTAAGCAACTTATGCCCTTACTATGGAACATTCCATAAGGAAGGAAATCTGCATTTTATGCATCTTATCTTTTATCTGACTTATTTATTAGATTTATATACTTGCAACATAACCCTGGGTGGCTCACAAATGACAGTAAAAACAATAAAAACAGTAAAAAATAAATAAAAAACCAACACAGAAACTCCCAGAGCTCCCAACTTGAGATATTGGTATCTCTAGCAACAGCAGCAATTATGGTTTGGGTCATGTCATCTGCTCTTAGTAGAGAATTGCTTTTTTTTTTTTTTTAATCTGTGCTCAGTCGTTACCTACTCTGTAGTGCATGCTTGGAAGAGTCCTTGCAGTTTTCAAGGCAAGGTGTTTCGGAAGTGGTTTGCCAGAGCCTCCTTCCTAGAGCAGAGCCCAGGAATTTTAGAATAGGATTCAGAGCACCTTGTTTTTTTATTATTGAGAAATGAGTTTGATGTGTTTACAATAGAAAGTACAGGCCTGGAGAAAAATCTAGCAGAGTTCTGAAGTTTTCTGTGGTGGAAAGAGGAGGACATTCTTCCTGAAACACCGAGTACGGCTTGTATAGACACACATCCCATGAGAGTAATTTGGAATACACCCGTATTGCCTGCCCAAATGCTTCTATGGGTAGGTGTGGTTCGTGTTCACAGAAGGAGGCAACAGCAGGGGGAAAAGCACTGAGGACCAGACTGTGACGAAAAGAGGAGCCTGGCTGGGTGAACAGAAAGCTTGGGAAATGCCAGTATCTCAAACAGACCATCTCTCCTGGGCCTCCACAGGAAACGCCATCTGCATTATCAAGGGCCCCCCTTTGGCCTGCCGGTGACAGCCAACTCCAGAATTGGAACGGAGGCGGAAGCAGGGAGCTCACCACACGCCCTCTTATCACTCGGCCAGCCTTGGTCCTTTCCCTCTTCCATCCAGCTGATTGAATGCTCACATTCAAGCCCGCCATCCAAGCCTAACTTTCCCAACAGGGATAAAGTTTTGTCTTCCTTGTCTTGCATTTCCTTCCTGTCTTTTCCTGGTTGTCTTCTAGGTGTGTTACTTTGAAGCTGGTGTTTGCAGCTTGCTCTTCTTGAGGTAAGTACAACAGTTCTTGAACAACCTTACCCAGTCTTGCCCTCTGGATGCACTGAGACTATAATGCCCAGAAAGCACTGCCTTTAATGCTGGGAATTGTAACCCCGCATACCTGCACAGCTCCATGTTTGGGAAGTCCGGCCTGAATGGGCAGCTATAACCACTGGCTAGTTCTGTTCCATTGGACTTTTCTTCATAATACTGTACTGCATATACAGGATACGTTTGCATGAAGCAAACGAAAGCAGCCAGTCCTTCTCCTTCCCTACTTAGTTCATCTTCCAGATGCTCTTTCCCCAACCTGGGACCCTCTACACGTTTAGAAAGAACTCCTGGGAGAGCTTCATCAGTGCAGGTGAAGGTCAGCTGTGGACTGGGTTTCATTAACATCACCCTCAAGCTCCACTGGCGCCCAGAGGAAGTGTTAACTGTTCCCTAACATTGTTTTGTAAGAATCAGGCTAATCTCCTCATGGGAGTTAAGCCTACCTATTGGTATGTTTCTAGTGGCATTCTCAATGTGGTTATTAGTGGCCAAGACAATAATTGGTAATCCAGAATTCCCTGCTTGTTTCACTTCTAAAGAGTCCGGGAGGCGGGGGGGGGGCAGCAGGCAAAGGGCACCGTGGTAAAACATCTACTTCACATGACAAAGCTTCCACGCTCAGTCCAGGGCTAGAGCAAAGCTTACATCATCACTACCAGTGTTCTTAGTATTGGGCTAGATGGAACAGTAGCTGTCTCCACACCACACCTGATCCACGGTTAACTGAGCCACAGTTTACTGAACTAATCCAATACCCTGGATTTGCATGAAACACTAAGCCACAAACAACATTTTAGGGTATTATGCTGGTTAAACCAGCCAGTCTGGAGCTGCTTCATTCCCACTTTTGTCTAAGTATCCCAGGTCTTGGCCCACTGCTTCTGTCCTCACCAGCATCTGTAAGCAAGAATGGCTTGTAGTATCTAACTGTAGAGGGAAGGGTGGAGAACCTCAGTCCTTTCTCCCCACCCAGCCAACATCGAGACCACAGCACTCTATTGTTGCCAACTGACCACTGCCACTTTGTGGCCCAGGACACTAAATACAAAACAACAGTCCATGAGAAAAACATTCCAGATCCATTGCTTCATAATATATTTACGACTATCCCACGTGTATTTATAGTGTGTACAAGCTTTTGAGCTACTTGAACTCCAGAACTCTTAATCAAGACAGATGATTTTTGCAGAGGGGAAAACTCCAGAAAAAATAGGGCAGATTGCGGCCATAAGGTCTGCCTCTTAGGAGTCAGTTTCGAAACGGAGAATGTATTTTTCCCTAGTAGCTGGTGCACCCAGCATTCTGGGACAAAAATCAGCAGCCGACTTTCTGTGCGGCCTCCCCTGCCCCAATTCTCACTGGCTGCGTTGCCAACCCCTTGGACCTATCACACAAGCCCCCCCCCCCCATTCTGACCCAGAAACTGTTCTTTGTTCTAGGAACAGCCATTGAGTTTGATTCCACTTATTTGAGGCAACATCATTTGCTTCCAAATTCAAGACACTCTTTTCAGTTCCCTGATAATGATTATGGCAGTTCAGGTAAATCTACCCAGTAAGCTAAAATGTACTTTCCTCTTTCCCTTTTGTTTCCCAATTGAAATGATATGCAGCTAGTTATACATCAAAGTCCACTGTCCAGTGAGCAAATCATTCCATTATTGTTGGAACTGATTTCATGGCCTGGCAAAGGAGAAAGTTAAAAAAAAATAAAAATCCAGCAAGACAGATTTCTGGTATTCCAGGTAGTCAGGACACCGCTGTTGTTCCTCCAGGCGTCTTCCAAGGCAAGAGGCTGCTATTCCTGAAACAGCCTCTTACTCTCACTATACTATAGGAAGCAGTGGTCCAAATATGCCCCACAGTTTTTCTTTCTTTGGCTTGCCTTGATTTCACAAGTGCTGCAGACGGACTCGTTCTGAAACATCATGGCTCTGGTATATGGACGACCTTCTAGGATGCCCCACTAATCCATTCTCCCTTGCCAGTGGCCCCCTTGTGAGACCCACTCTGTGCCCAATCTTATGCTGTTGGTGCAGCAGGACATTCTGGATCGTGCTCCCTTAGTAAGAAACAGGGTAAGCTCTTCCAACAGTGCATTTCATGTGTAAGAGCAGCAGCAGGTGGAGATACAGCCACACCTTTGCTCCCTGCTCCACCGTAGTATGCGGTCTGGCCATTTGCTTGACTACCACCTCCTTCACATTTATTCTGAGGGCTGCCATGCTTTTCAGTTGCTGCCACATATCATCATCATCATCATCATCATCATCATCATCATCATCATCATCTTGTATGCTGCCTGACTCAACGATTCTGGACTTCCACCTACATGCAGTGGGACAGACATTTCTCCTCAGCATCTTGGTCTTGCATCTGCAGGGGTGAACTTGATTAGTATCCACTCCTCTGCATCCTAAGCATGCCCTCTGAGCATGCCTGTGCGATCTTTATTTATCTGGGTAGCCAAAGAAATGAAAAAAGCGGTCTCTTTCCACCCAGATGTGGGACTGCTTTTGCTTCACCCTTAACATGGCATCAATGTCCTTTTGCTCAGAACTCAATGCTTGCCTACTGCCACTCAAGAGGCTGTAAGTGGATGTCGTCTCAGTGAGTTCACGGAAGGGATCAACTGCTTGCGGAGCAGGCTTCCTCTTCCCTTTCTGCCCCGGGGGGCTCTAACCATGTGAGTCAGTTATCTCTGGAAGCAGGCAGGGGATAGACGCCTGGAGAAGACATAAGAGGCTCATCTACTGGAAATGATTATTACTGTGCTTGTCACATTTTATATTTATATAATGTGTTTGTTCTAGGTTATTTGGGTTTATTTTTCTGGTCTATTATTTTTCTGTTGTGCTGTATGCTGCCCAGAATCACACTGCTTGAGTTGGGCAGCCTTAAAAATGTAGTAAGTCAGTCAATAAATAAATAAAATGAGCCAGCCTCACAGAGTTTGTGTAAGCAAGCATACGACATTCAGAACTTCTAGTCTTTGCATTGTAAATGTCCTTGCATATCCTTCTACCTCCATTTTAGAAATGCCCCAAGCTCCAGCTGTTTGTGCAGATCTGTGAGGCATAATCAAAGCTGTTGTGTATGCAAGGTCTTTTGTGACAATGAACTGAACCCAAGAGGCCTCTTTGCCCAGGGCTCTCCTGTATAGCACATGCTTAATGTATGTGCTTTATATTAGCAGATTCCCTGCATTTCAAAGCTTCCAGTGCCTTCAAAAAACTGTCTTAGTTAAAAAGGCCTTGTGGCATCTGCTCCTATGGCCCGTAAATTGGAAAGGATGTTGAGGAGGGCTAGTCCAGCAGGACACTATTAGAGCAAACTCAACTGCTTACATAGCTGAGGCTTTGCTTGGTTCTCTTGACTCTGAGACAGAAAGGCAGAAAATAGTAACCTGTTCAAATTCCCTCTCCCCCCACTCCTCCAGCAATCACTTGTCATTGCCAAGAATTTGCCATACTGTAGAGATCACCAGTCATGAGCCCGGTACCATTTTCACTTGTTTCATTAAAAAACAAAACAAACAGAGAACAGTCAGTGCAGCCCACAGCTTAACCCTTCTGGCTGGCTAGGAATGTCAAACTCAAGAGGTGTTGGGGCTAAGCTTGAAGCAGGACTACGTTAGTCAACGCAGAAGCTACACAGACTTCTGCACCTCGTCCAGTGGAGGGGCTGAAATAACTGCTAATTCTGGAGTGGAAAGGCTCAAGGAGCAGCAGGGAGGTAGATGGGGGCACCGCCGTGGGACAGCGTCATATCACATCCCACTCCTTCAGTGTGGCTAAAAAGACAAGGTCAGGGACCAGGAAATGACAGGACACCGAATCACTCTTTTTGGGCACTACTACCATTTACCATTTTCCTACCCTGTGTTAGTAAAGTGCTTTTCTGCGTCTCCCCCATGCTTCAGGGTTATTTCATGTCACAGCAAGCTGGAGGGTAAGGATTAGCAACCGTCTCTCAACTTCACGCCCCTGCCCTATAGACAAGTCAGTGGTTACAATTCCAGATCTGAAATTACCAAGATTGCATGAGGGCCAGCCCTTCCCCATCCTTTTACACAACCAGAACTGGATGTTGTCGCAGGTAGGTAATTCTGTGCCAGATCCATTTTGCAATGCTCTACAGTTCGTGCCAGGAGGAACAGTTCCAGCAGGTCATCTTCTAAGACAGCAGGTGGTGCTAAAAGCACCCACGAGATTCTTGACTGTGCCTGCCAGACAGTAAAACTTCTTACAGGAGGTGACTTGGGGGCTTTGTACCTATGCAGCACCTCAAGGTTTGGTCACAGAGACTCAGCATTAAGGCCCCTTGGGAGTTGCTAGAGGGGTAGGAAGTTCCTGGGAGGTTCCCCGGCGATGACGCAGGCTTTTTTCTTCATCCTGGAGGGAAAAAAAGACAACCCTGCTGTGAATCAGACACCACTGCTAGCGGAGAACTGCAGCCACAGAGTTAGCTGCTTAGGTCAGATCCTTGTGTGAAATTCAGGGCCAATCCTAAAAAAGATCCCGTGTAGGGGATATAGGATTTAGTGGGAATTCTCTCAAGCCAGTGGAATGCCAAACACAGTGCCAACATGACAGGTACGCCAGAGTCATGCAACACCAGCCACTTACCATGAAGTCTCCTTTGGATTTGGTGAAACCTAGACAATCGACACTAGGTCAAATTTCCCCTGTTCAGGAAAGGCTGGAAAAATGTGATAAAACATCTTGGAGTTACTCTCAGGGAGATCCTCCCCCCTCGAAAGAGCGTAACATGACCCTGAAACGCTTCCTTAAAGCACAGGGCAATTGATAACAGATTTTGCTTAGCCACCCTAGATAATGCTGACCCAGAGGTCTCCATCACACCAAACCAGAAGGAAACTTTATGGTAAGGATTCCACTCTCAGTTTGTGCAAGGAGGCATCCAACAACAGGACAGAGGCAAGTTGGTTCCATATTTAAGGTGGGTGGGAGGCTGAGATTAAAATGAAGGAAAGACACATTTTAGCATCCTTCTTCCAAAGCCTGTGTATGCCAAAGCAAAGCTTTCCATTTCATAATATCTCCAAAATATCTTTGGACTGCCTTAAGTGGCTGTTTAATAGGAACTGTAGTAGAAAAAGCTGCCAAGGATATGCTCAGGTTAAATGTAAAGGTCTTGGAACTTGCCAGTCATGGCAGTACAGCCCTTGATCCATCTAGCCATGATGATACAAAGATCCTCCTTGGCTGATAATACAGGATGAACAAGCACAAAGTCTGTGATATGCAGCATGCCAAATGCAACTTTTTATCACTCTAAGTGCATCCAGTTTGTGCCTTCTTGGAGGGCTGAGAGAATTTGAAGGAAAAAGAGTGAAGAATTAGCTTCTGAGTTCTATGAATGATAGCATTCAAAGAATGGAGGTACTGAAAAAGCAGAAGTAATGGTCTGGGAATTAACTCAGAGTAGAGAGGAGCAAGAGAAGAGAGCAAAAGGCAGGGAAGAATTGCAGTGGGGCAGTGGGATTCTAAGATGTCACATTTGGCTGTTTCATCAAGAGACCTGCCTATCCTGAAAGATAGGGGTGTTAGTTAATCCACTGCTCCGTTCTTGTCTTCTTTCACCACAGCCTACAACTATGCTCCTGTTTGAAGTGAACGTCACCCCAATCTCAGATGCCATTCTAGAAAACTCTCCCACTGAGGTAATGCAAAGGAAAAACATTGGGTTTTATTTCACCCTACTACCATGGCCTGCCAAGTTTCTAACTTCATTCATTTTGAAAAGTTAAATAATTTTGAAATAATTTAGAGGGCTCCACAATCACCCTGTCGCCAGGCCTGAGAGAACAACTAGGTCTTCAATAGTTTCCTGAATGACATAAGAGTGGAAACCACATAAATTTCTGGGGGAAGATCATTCCAGAGTGCAGGAATTGCAACAGAATAGGCATGCTTCCTGGGTCCCACAAGATGACATTACTTAATTGATGGGATCTGGAATGTACCCACCTTGCTGGACTGAACTGGATGGGGAGAGACAGCTGGAGATAGGTGATCCCTCAGATAGTCAGGCCCTATGCCTTGAAGGGCTTTAAATGTGAAGCCAACCGGTAACCACTGCAGCTTGTGAAGCAGCAGGATGATGTGCACATAATATAGCGCACCCATCACTGCCCATTCTGCAGCATTCTGGACCAGCTGTAGCTAGTATTTGAGAAACTGCCACGGGCTAACTCTCCTTCCTCCGGTTCCAGCAGCAGCAGACATCCCAAGAGATCTCATAGGTCAAGACTTCTGACATCCTACAGGATACTATGGTTGGATGGAGGCTGCATCAGGGCCTAGGGCCTGCAGTGCTAGACACTCAAGCTTCAGGTGTGTACCTGTAGCCAGCTCAGGTCTGAGTGAAACTAAGCTCTCTGGTAGAGGAAGTCCAATTTGAAGAAGGACCCACCAACGGCTAGATATGGGCTCCCACGCAGGGGCCAACTCCTCTCTGGACAGGCTCCTCTTGAGCCCAGAGGGGGCTTACCGTTTCAAAGACAGCATTTTGCTCGGCAGGGGCAAACAGCAGCTCCTGCCCCTCTTCCTCCCGCACAGCATCCATTCCTTCCTCCTCATACTCAGTTAGATAATCTGACTCTTCTCCTGGTTGTGGGCAAAAAAGGCTTCAGTCATCTTTTACAACATTTTCTTCTTCATAAACACAGAAACCGCAATAATTTTTTGCTCTGTACTCACTTCTTAGTTTGGGATTTCTATCATTTTATTCTGGAGCAGCGGGACAAGTATACACACAAATCAATTAGGCTTGTTTACCTAGGTCTTTGGACGAGCAGAAATGTCCCATGACAGCAGCATGCTGAATCATGCTCACAACGGCTTTCACCAGGGCATCTCAGGCCCATTTGCTGAGTTGGGATGAACTCAGCACTTCCACATCTAAACTGAACCCACTAACCATTGATACTCACCATCGGCATAGCCTTCAGACAGATAGCTCTTGGCTGGCTCAATGCGAGAGATAATCTCTGCCAGATCTGTGAATCCTCCACTAGGGCACATCAACACCTTCAGAATGAAGAGAGATGTCAGAATTATCTGAAGCTATCTTGCCACAACCTGGGCTGTGCAAATTAAGTTTGATTCAATTTGAATGTTCATATTAATTTGGAAAACTGATTTGATTTTATCATTTGAATTGATCTGGAAAATCAGTTTTGACTAAATTAAATTTAACTTGGAACACTGCAAACCTAGATCAGGTAAGTTATTGCTGTGACACTGAGTATTCTGGATAGGAGAAACTGGGTGTGATCCATCAAACAGTGCTGCTGTGCAGCTTTTAGTTACTATTCCATGAACCATCTTCAAATGACACCTAGTGTAGACTGATCATGGGTTAAGCACATCCACATCTCTTGAACCTTTGTTGTTTTGTAATAGCTAGAACTCTGGCCCTTTATCATTACTTCAGATATTTTTTTCTAGTTAGCTGGAGAAGCTACAAGTACAAAAAGCTCTGGCAGTCGTTCCTCCCACCCCACCCCGCTCTACACTTACATCCATGCGTTTGCTCTCATAGAAGTCTGCTGAGTGCCGGTCCTGAACCATTTTTTCAATTATATCACCGCGGCACCAACCGCCAAATATCACTTTTCCATGCTGATAACCTACATCCTGTAGGAGAAGGATAAAGGAAGTCACTCTGGAATATTCTGATCCTATAGGAGTGTTTCAAGAAACAATCTTCTCTAGCCTTGAGATCAATTGGGACTGACTGGAACTGGCACTAATTCCAGCTAACACACAAGTCAAAGCAAATCTGGGATCCAACTCTCAAGAAAATGAGCCAAGGAATTTCAAAGGAAGTCAAAATACCCAAATATTCTGTTGGATATGCTTTTCTAGTCAATAAGACTAGAAAAGCATATCCAAGAGAACGTTATTCCTTGCATCTCAATAGAAGATACTACCAGGAGCCTTTCATGCCCCTTTCTCTCCAGGCAACAGTTGTCTGGGACCTCAGTATGGAAGCCTTAAGGGAATGGCCAAATCAACAATTTCACATGGTAGGTTGTCCAGGTTAAAGGGATCCCATGTTGTTAAATCCCTGCATCTGCTTTCAATGACACTACTTAGTCCTCCAATCTAGGAATATTTGAAAATACTGTACTTCTAAGCTAGGTTTCAATGCTTCTCTCACAGCCAGTTCCCAGGCAGAAATATAGTGATTAGAGGGAAGAGATTCCAGATTATCTGAATGTATTGCCTCTAGATAAAGAGGAGGATTGGCAATTAAAAAAATGGAAGGCTTTCAGTTTTTCATTGTCATATACTGGAATGTGTTTCCAGTTTGGTAATCCCTGATGGAAGCCTACATTTTGGCTAAAAGGTAACTTTACCAACCACTAGTGGCAGATTTAGATTAAATATTGAGAATGATTTGAAATGACAGCTCATTCTTGGAATGTATGGTAGGAAGAGATTTTGAAAAGATGACCAGGGGAGCTATTTTCTCTTTGAAAGTGAATAACAGATTGCAAAGTTGGTTCCTCCCTGTTCTCTGAATCAGCAAGATGAGGCTGTTTCACAGCAGCCCTTCTAATGTGACACCCCCCTTGCGTGATTAATTACTGTGAAACAACCCAGCTGGGCCCTCAGACTCACATAGATTTCGTCGAACTTTCCAAAGTCCATGGTTTTGAAGCGATCGATGGGAGGCCGAAGGTACTCACAATATGAACTGTTTTTCACAACCTCCAATTGTCGCACACATGAGACATAGGCCAGGCGGGACTGGATTTCTGCCATGTCAGGTACCTGAAGGCCAAGGTGCTCATTGGTCACAGAGAGATATGTGAGGAAGTTCCCCCTCAGAGCTTCCTGAGTCATCTACCCCTGCTTCTAAATAGCCCCATGTAGAGCCCATTGCAACAGTCCAAATAAGAGGTGATTGACTAAGGCACAAATGGCCATAAGCAGGACCTCTCCGTCTAGAAATGGCTACAAGTGGCATACAAGATGGGTTTGTGCCTCTTGACCATGGCTGCCACCTGCTTTTCCATGATTATGACCCCAGTGAAAGAAAATGAGGATGGTAAGAAGATACCTCTGGGAAACAATCAGAGAATCTTAGCAGCAGTAGTGAGGCTGCCAGGAATCTGGCTTGGATAGGCATCTGCCAGGAATACTGGAAGTATATCCCAATCCAACCCAGCTTGAACTTGCAGGACAAGCTTAGAGAGATGGAGCAGGTAAGCTATATCTGTAACCAGTCTTCTGCAATCTTGTGCTATTAAGATATAGGAAACCACTGTATTGTTGAAAGGCTGCTGTAAGTCAAGGCCAGTATTTAATATGCCAATCTATTAACAATTTTGCAGATTTTAAAAGATAATTGTTCTAATTCATAAGAACTAGGTATTTAAATATGATTAAGATGTAATTAAAGGTGTTATCTGACCCACTTAAAGTACCATCCTATCCATGAGATTTGCTTCTGGAAAGCTTTAGGATTTTGTGGAAGCCTTACTTAGATAAGCTAAGCTACTACCATGAGAAAGATGCCAACGGAAGATCCAGAATTACAGAGACAGAACTGTCTCCTCCAAGCAGATGTGCCAGAACAAGCCAGAGGAGGTGACAAATTATTTTCACAAGCACTATTCTCATAAGATCTCTGACACTCATGCAGTGACATTTTCCACAGTGGTAGTAAATAAAAGCAGAGAAAGAATGGTACTCTCCATTGTGAGAAAACAATGAATGCTTAGAAAATGCAACAAACAATTCCTTGAAGAGAATCCACATAGCTAGTACCAGACTTACACATCCAAGCAGGAATCTCCACCCACAAGTTACAGGCTGGAGGAAGAGAGGGACTCACCTTGACCTTCTCAGCCCAAGGGTTGAGGCGTTTCCAGAGCAACCACCAACCTGATAGGCTATCCCCATAGTTGCAGAGGTCAGTCTCATCCTGGCTTCCAACATCAATGGCAATGACAGTCTTGGCACCCATGTTACGAGCAATGTCAGCTACATTAGAGGAGAAAAAGGGGAAACGTTTCAGGGGAAAGGCAATGTGGAGAGACAAGAGCTGAGAACATACCACCACCATGACCACCAGAATCAGCACCAGCACTGAATCAAAGAGCTAGGGACAGCATTCCTTGGTGGTGTAGAAGGGAATTCTCTCTGACCAACTTCCCTTTCTCAGCATTAACTTCATCAAGTTGTACCTCCTTTGTAGCAAAAGGGGGCTGTCTTCATAATTTCTCTGCTCTGCTGAAAACTTTGTTTGGATTAGCAACCCCACAAGCTAGCTACAATTAGGTCTTACAAGGGACAGCATCTCCCTTTGTATTCATTTCTGGAGAAAGGTCTAGATAGAAACAAGGACAACTTAGTGTTATTCAATAAAGCAACACGTAGCATCTGACTTCTGCTTTCAGTAGTGGGCACAAATTTACAGAAATACCTGCATACTCCCAGAATTCCCAACCAGCATAGCCTTCAATGGGAATTAAAATCCCAAATACCTGGAGGACACCATGTTAAAAAAGGCTATGCTAGTTAATTGCTCTTTCAGTTATATTAAACAGTTCACCATCTTTTTAGCCAGCTCCAATTATCTGTGGCTTGCCACCTGAAATCTGCATATTGGTTTAAAATGGCATCTACTGCATAGGAAATGTGTAAGTGCCTTCAGTAAAACTGAACATGATGGTCTTTTATTAATATCCCATATGCAGGGGGGGTAGATAATGCTAAAAATAGGAGGCAATGCCTCTTTGCATTTTGAGAGTAGACAAGCAGAGGCTTAATATTCATATTTTACAGTTACCAAAATAAGAATATACAATTCTCAGTTCACAGAATACTTTATGCTCAAAGCCACACAAAAATGTGCTTGCTGGAATGGACAAGATGACAAATACACAATTAACAATTATTTCTCAGAAAACCAAGCAGTAAGAGAAGCATTTGGCAAAGCCAAGTCAGGTTTGTTAAATCATAGCCTCTCTCAGTTCAGGCCTGAGAAGGCCTCTTCTAAGGAAAACATGTTGCCTGCCAAACTAGGAAGGGTGCTGAGAAATTGGTGGAGGAAATAGACTTAGAGAAGTTTACATAAATAAGTGAAGATCTAGAAAGCAAGTCACATTTAAAAAATGTTGTCAAGGAAATAAGCAAGCTTAGATCAAGGGAACCAAGATTAAAAAGAAAAACACCAGAATACGTTGATATTTTATGGACATTTCAAGAGAAAGAATCAGTGAGCACATTTGTTTATTTGTTCCCATGAGTACAGAACAAGAAAGCATGGATCTAAATTTAAGAGAAACATCAGGAAAAGAACAATTTGCAATAAAGCAAACATATAAAGACATGACAAGCAACATATCCAGGCTGCTTAAGAAATCATTCCTTGGAACCAAAAAGTGGGCTTATGGTCCATCTATTGGTTACCCAAAACCTTGCAAATTCTGTCAGTTTACATACCTGCCGCCTGCAGGGCAGATGCTGGGCAAAATGGGATAAAGCCCCATAGAAGGTCATCTGAAATGCAAGCCTTGAGAGGAAACCTGGGGATTATAGTTTGGTAAATATTCAAAGGCCATGCAGGAGAGCCATGAATCTCCCGGGTCTTTATTTCATAAAAAGCAACCACACTGAGGAAGGGAATTTGGGGCACGGGGGAAGGTCTAGTCAGTTCTCAAATGCAAATTCTGTATTCCCAGGGGAGGTATGATTAATTGTGGGGGGGGAAATATACAGTGTTTATATGATGTGTGATGTTTTCCGTCTAGGACCAAGAACTTGGGGGAGGAGGGAGATTTTCATCAGGTTACTAATGTGAATGATATTAATCCTCTCATACTCACACAGTGCTTGGATGGGTCTCAACAAATGCCCAACGTCCCAGTTTCCCCCAATTTTAGCCAAATTATGCCTTCCAAGCACTTAAAAATAACAGTGAAGGAGGCCCTCAAAATATTTTCATTAATCCAAGCGCTACTGCCTCAGCTGAATCCTCATCTCTTACCCAACCCTTTAATGGCTTCCATCAGAGGTCTCTGATCAACCACATCTCATTTGGCTGCATCCTAAAGAGGACAGCCAAGAACAGCTCTGTCCCAGTCTGGTGATCTTCTGTAGATCTTTTCTTCTGAACTTCTCCCTCTAGTGAGCAGCAGCACAAACTGCAGGTGGTCAGATATTTCTGACACAACTTGTAAGCAGGGCTCAATGGTGCCTTGAATGGGAATCAGAACATCTGATCCCTAAAATTAAGCCCATCTCAGCCGGCTCTCTGGCAGCTACTACTTCCACAGCATGCAGCAAGCAAAACGCATGGCAGCACAGCTCAGTCAACCCCTTTCACTCCATCTCGGGTCTTTCTGGCTGGATGTCCCAAATTGGAAATGTGCTCTCCAAGATGCATGATTTGGTAGTAGCTTTCATTTCATTTGCTTTTTTTTTCCAGTCCAGGTGAAAAGCTTTTTAGGGTTTAGTATGGCGGTGGCAGTAGGACATTGCTCATGCCTTCTAAACTTTTGGGGTGCATTTTATCTAAGTTTTCTTATGGCTGCTTTTGCTTTTCTTACATGAATTTGTTATTTAAGTGATTAGTGTTTCAGACACAGTAAAAATCTATTCTGAGAAGCTGTTGCTTTGGATCCCTTCCCCAGTGCCCAGAGAGCTCCAGCTGTGCTCGTGCTACACAGTCTTAAAAGTCTCTCTTCTCCCTGTGGCCTCTTCAGGGCCAGGCTAGAGACCAGCAGGCAATGAAGTTCAGGCAGATGTGGCCTGCATGTCCTTGAGAGGATACTAAACTCTTGCCCTCCTTTGGCTCAGGAGATGTCTTTAATGTCATGGATTTTTATCAACAGGAGAAGCAGTCAACAGAGAGTCCCTGCCAGCACAACAAATGCAGTTTGCATCAGACCCAAGAAGGCAAGCTGGCAGCCACCAGATCCTCCTGCACTAGGTCTCACAGCTATTGCGGCGGCTGCCTTATTTCACAGAAGACTGGGATTTCGCTGGTTCCTTAAGCACCTCCCCTCCTCACCAGGATACTCCCATGGTATTTACAGCGGAGGATAAGAGAGCTTCAGGGTGGAAATAATGGAAGCCAGCCCCAGACCAGTCAGGTTCCACAGCCATCCTTCTCCTCCAGCAGATGGCTGCTCTGCTGTCTCCAAGACTGCCCAATACTTGCCTGGAAGGTTGTTGATGTAGCCGCCATCCATCAGTAAATTGCCGTCCTTGGGGTCGCAGAGTGGCGGTAGGTACCCGGAAAGGGTCATGCTAGCTCGCACATACCGCCACAGCGAGCCTAACCATGTGGGAACAAATGCAATCAGAAGAACAGAGAGATACCCAGAGCAGCAACGAGCCCTTCAGAGAGGGATGGAGGGAGATGCAGCCCAGCTTCAGCCCAGCTGCTCAGGCAGGAGAATTCTGCACAGCACTTTACCAAGCAGCCAAGCAATATGCAGCCATTAGATCCATCACCCCTGAGCCCACATGTGGCCAGGTAGCCTGCTAAACTTCCAAATCTACCTGGGGAGCCATGCAAGGCAACGCTTTGTATGTGCTGCATGGCAACCCAGTCTCCTGTGCCATGCAGAATTGCTGGCCTGAGCAAAATGTGGCTGTGGGCAGAAGCCAGGCTTGCCACCCCAAGCTTGTCATGCCCAGCCCTAGCAAAAGAAGGATGACAGTGGTTTGGAGGGAGGAAGCCATGTCAATTGACTGTCTCCATCCCTCCGACCCACCTGCGTCCCCAATGTCCACTAGCCAAGGTAGTGAGGCAAACGTGATGCTGACCTGGGACATTGTTAACATAGCAGCCATCCACAAGCAAGTGATTGTCCTTGGGATCGCAGAGAGGAGGCAAATAGGGGGTGTAAGATGCACTGGCCCGGACGTAGCGCCACACACTGCCTGCCGGATGAAGATGGAGATTCAATCATAGGAAAAGTGGGAGGGGAGGAAAAGGAAGGGAGCACAGGACAGGAAGTGACATCATGAGAGAAGCTACAGAAAGACAAAGTGCACCTGGGACAAAGGGGGATACTGGGAAGGCTTTCCTCAACAAAGGAAGACCATGCTTTTCAGCTATGTTGCAGCCATGTTGCAATCAGACAAGACTGTAGCACAGCCTTCTTGCCCAACTGGGATTCCCACTTGTCAGAATGCTCTGGTTTTCCCCTTTCAACTATGACATTCTTTTCTCCTCTTCCAGGTGTATTCCATTCCTAGTGTTTAGTGATGAGGGTTGTGATGAGGGCCATAGTTGCCATGGGTGCCTCCATAGTCATGAGCAGACAACAGTTCCCGGCCCCTGTGACTCAGCACTGACACCACATGGATTAATCCTCCCTCAGCAAGTCATTTCTCTCTCGCTGCCCCCAGCCATTGGCCCCTGAGGCACTGAAAGACCAGGACTCACTACAAGGTCTCAGATCAATGGAGTCCAGTTTTATGGGGAGGAGGAAAGTCCTTTGCTATGGGCAAGCATATAACACAGAGACGCAAGCATGAACAATACAGAATAACAGCTCAAGAGAGATGGTTCTACAACCCATAAGGAACAAGAAGTCACGTTCCAGAACAGGAGGCTGGTTTGGACTCTCTGATTACAGGGAAGCCAGATTGTCCCTGCCTATGAAATGGTCATAGTGGCTTTCCTGGATAAAAAGGAATGAAAATTGGGGAACCTAGGAAGTTCTGCTGCACACTCTGGTTGAAAGGAATGGGAACTGTACAAGCCACAAGGAGCACAACAGTTCACTTGCAAAAGAGAAAAAGGCAAGGACAGTTAAATGTAATTTTTTGAAGGTTGCAACTGCCAGCTTTTGCCACAGACTGAAAGCTGCAGCAAATGGCCTGACTGTCCTAGCTTGCTATCCTACCACCAGGTCTGAGTGGAGAAGCACACTTGTCCCCACAGGGAAAGAGACCAGAAACTGTTTCTCACTTAAGCACTGTTCCATGGAAACTCAGCACTTCAAAGGTTGGCTATTCTGTGCCTCACCTCAACAGCCTCACACTTGCAGGTGACAGAGCATTGGCACTGAAGTTCTTCCACCCTAACCTGAAAGATCTGGTTTCCTAGATGCGTACGCCTTCCCCAACCTGCACCATTTGCCACCCTTTACACAGCCTACCTACTGGGGATGAAAGAGAAAGTGTTAGCTCTGTTAGGAAGGAAAGTGGGCAGAGAATGAAGAAAGCCAGGCAGTTACAGCCTCTCCAGCCCCTGTCCTGCAGGTGGGCATGGCTGCCAACAATGTCCCAGGTGAGATCTGATGCTTGCTGCAGCCAGGGGAGGCCAGGAGGGATACCACAAAAACCTCCCACCTCCCTCCACATACAATCCATCCCCCTCTGAAGCTGATTTCAAAATCCACTCATTTATTAGGTTTCACTAGAGATGACTGTTCCCGCCCTCCTGCCCCCCCAAATAGGGTCTCTTGAAATAACTAGCAACCCACAGTTTCTCTAGAAGGGCAGAGTTGGCAAACTCAATGTAGCAGCCAGGCTGCTCCAATACACAGAAAGAATAGAGCAAACGAGGGACAGTTAGTGGGTTTAGTGATACCAGAAATGTTACCCAAGAAAGGCAGGCTCAAAGCCAGTTGAGACTATCACAGAGACATGGCAAGTGGCTCAAAGAAGCCATAGATTGTAAGAGTTCTTTCCATTCTCTGTTTTGCCTCTTCAGCAAAAGAATGGAATCCACTAGGTCTGACTAAGATACTGAGGCACCCAAGCAAGCTACAGATCTTCTCAGATAGTGTTGAACCTCCCTACTTACCCCTGGAGAAAGGTAAGGTATGAATAGTCTTTTTAAGCTACACTAATGATTATTCTAACAGCTGATAACACTACTATATATTTCCTACCCCTATATATAAGCTTCAGGCAAATTCCTACTCCCTCCCCAGATGGCATCATGTTCACTGAACTTGCAAGGAAAAAAAAAGTGACCTTCTTCTAATGCAGTGTTTCTCAACTGCAACAACTTTAAGAAGTGTGGACTTCAACTCCCAGGATTCCCCAGCCAGCATGCTGGCTGGGGAAT